ATCAAAAAAAATTATACTGGATAAGTGTTTTGTTGATCTTTGAATATAATAAACACAATTTTGCTATTTAAAAAATCACTTAAAATCCAAAATCCATATTACATTATATCTTATTTTAGAAAAAAGATTAGATCCATTTTGTATTCTATTATAAATAGTACATATCTTATACTTTTTACTATAATATCTTTTTATAATAATCTTATAAATTATACAAAAGATATTATTAATACAGAAAATATTACTTCAATTAAAGAAGTAGCTTAAAAAGTACAAAAAAAAATTATCAGAGTATTATAATAAAATTAATGAAATTTATCTTATTTTAGATTCAAAATTTAAAATATTATATTATAAAGAAAATGAATGAAGCCATGATGAAATAAATAAAATTAATAAAAAATTAATATTTTTAATATTTTTAATTTATTATTTAAGATAATATTATTAAATTTTTTAGAATTCCTTCAATTTACAATACATTTTATATACTTACTTTATATAAGTTTTCAGATAAAATGAATCTTTTAAATAGAAAAATTCTATTATAAGATAATTATTCAAAAAGTTTCATATAAAAAATTAAATAAATTTCAAGTATATCTTTCTTTATTCACAGTTAATGAAATAGTGAATTCTCTTGAATAGTAAAAAAGTATATCCCTATCTTTCTAAAATGACACATGATTATTTATTAATATTAGTAACTAATGTATTATCAGAATAATATTTTTTAATTAGCAAATAATAAAAATCAGTTAATAATATTAGAAAATTTAATTAGGCATAAATTTATTTAAAAATTTTAATTTTTTAATTTCAGCTGAGATTTAGGTGACAGGAAGTGATTTTTTACTAAGATATTTTTAAGATATATCAAAAGTCCTAGTTGTTAGTTACAATATAATAAATATTTCATTACTATAGTATCAATATTTGCAAAGAAATTTACATTTAAATTCAAATGTCCATGAAAATTTATGTCATAATTTTTCTGTAAATTTTTGTAATTCTGCTGGAAGTTTTTGTGATATAATAAAAAATTTCTGATAGAATTACAAAAATTTACAGAAAAATTACAGTATAAATTTTCACGGACATTTGAATTTAAATGTAAATTTCTTTGCGAATATCGATGTTATAATAATGAATTATATATCATATTGTAACTAATAACTAGGGCTTTCGATCTATCTTAGAAATATCTTAGTAGAAAATTACTTCCTGTCACCTAAATTTCAGCTAAAATTAAAAATTAAATTTTTTAGGCAAATTTATGCCTAATTAAATTTTCTAATATTATATTTTGATAAAACAATATCTTTTTTTAATAGTTGGTTAGAAAGTTTTAAGAATTACTACAAAATTAAATCCTATATCAAGCATGAAGAAAGTGGGTTCGCAGATTTAAATGGTATTGCTAAAGTCTTACCTTTCCTCTATCAATTTCTTGATTAATATGAATGGAAAGACATTTACAATATGGATGAAACTGAATTATTTTACTGTCTTCCTGCAGATAAATTTCTTGCAACTAAACAATTGGAAAGAACAGAAAAAAGTAAAGAAAGATTAACTATTACAGTCTGTACTAATGGTAATAGTTCTTATAAATTATTATATTGGATAATTGAAAAATATCAAAAACCAAAGAAATGAATATAAAATTTTTAGATATTCAATACTGATGGAATTCAAAAGCTTAGATGACTGAAACAATGTTTGTTGAATATGTTAAATGGTTTGATCAACAAATACACGGACAAAATGTACTTCTTTTGATGGATAATTGTCTAACACATGTAAAAAAAAAATATAACTTATGTAATACGAGAATTCATTTTCTTCTATCAAATATTACATCAAAAATATAATCCTGTGATGTAAACATTATTAGAAATCTTAAAATTTATTATAGAAAATTTTTTCATTAACAAATACTTCAAAATATTGAAGCAAATAAGATAGAACCTGAAAAAATTGATATATTACAAGTAATTTGTTTTATTATTTTTGCATAGAATAATGATGTAAGTGCTAAAACAATTTATCATTGTTTTCATATAGAATTTATATACAAATAGAAGATGATCCAGATATTAATAATAATCTAAAAAAAATTCCAGAGGATATAAATGATCTTACAAATTAAATAAATGAACTTAGATATAAAAATCCAATGGATGTTCAAGGACTTCTTAATCAATTAGATGAAAATAAAATTGTAGAAATTCTAACAGATGATAATATTATTGAAATGGTAAAAGAAAATATAAAAAAAAATAATGAAAGTGATGAATTAAATAATAAATTTAATGATAATAATACTATTAAAAGATCAAAGATTATATATAATGAAACAACTAATATATTAAATTCTTTAGAACTTTTTTCTTCAACAAGATGAAGATTGCAATCAAATTCTTAAATATATTGAAATTTAAAAAAGAAAAGTATTTTCTATTAAACAAAAAAATATGATATAATTATCAATTAATAAATATTTTAATATATTAGATTTAGATAATAATATAAATAATAATTTGAATGAATTGAATAATTCTGATTGTTTTAATGAATTAAATAATTTTAGTGATGATTTGTATGAATAATTTAAATTATTCATTTGAAAAATATTAATTTGACTTTATTATTAATAAAAAAAATAATTTTTTATATTAATTTTTTTTTTGTGATATTATTAATTTATATAAGTATACTTGCCTATAAGTATAGGATTTTGTCGACCTGATATTATGCTTATATACAGGTTCAACTGTATATATACGTGTTGCCCAAATCCCAAATCATTTGGGATTTGGGACGCCAAAATCCCAAATTACTAGTATTTGGGATTTGGGATTTGGGATTTCGGCAAAAAATACTAATCATAATTTGGGATTTGGGATTTGGGATTTTGGCATTTGGGATTTTGGCATTTGGATTTTGAATTTGGGTGGCAGGTATAACTGTATATTGTATATAATTTTTATTTATAAATAATAATTAAAAAAAATATTAAAGTGTAATAAAAAAAACATTAAAGTGTAATGAAAAAAATATTGAAGTGTAATAAAAAAAAAGGATTGAAGCATGATAAAAAAATATTGAAATGTAATAAAAAAAAATATTGAAAATAAATTAAATAAAAAGAAACTAATTTGTAGTTATAAATATAAAAAATTATTAATATAGGTAAAAGATGTAAATCCTATATAATTTAAACTACTTGTCATAAGGCAAATTAAAGATATAAGTCTTACAGATTAAAAAAAAATATTAGTTATAAGTCAAACAAAATATGTAAGTCCTGTATACTAAATAGTAATATAATATATTGAAAAATAAATCTCAGAACAAATTAAAGATAAAAATAAACTTGCATAGTGAGTCAACACCTTTCACGAAAGAATAATAAAGTTCAAATGGTCACATTATAACAATAAATAATTTATTTATTTTAACTAAAAATGAACTAATACCTTTTATTATTAAAAAAATATATCAAATTATTATATGTCTTAAGATGTAACATGTTAATGCTATCCGAATAATATTATAGAATGGTATTCATATAATGTTGTAAAATATTTTTATTTAATTTCTGATGACTTTTGACAAATAATTCAAACTAAACTATTTTAAACCTGTTTATATTTTTTTATCTTTTAATTTTATTAATCTTATTAATATAATAACTTTTTAGGATAATAGTTCTAAATCTAAGGAAGTAAATAAAAGTTTTGTTTATAGCAAAAAATCCTTTTACATTTTGTTTTTTAGTTTAGTCTATTGTGTCCTAAACTATTTTAAATGTTTTAAATTCTTTAGTTCAAATTATTACTTTTAACAAATTGATATTTAAATTAAATAAATTAGAATTTTATATAAAATTTAATATATAGTTTATAATCTATTATATTTTTATAATAGTATTTTATATTATATAAGTTATATGTGAGTTAATGAACTGAACCATTTGAAGTTCTAACTAGATTGATATCAGAAAAACTTTGAACTATTATATTTGCTAAATTTTTATTCAAAATATTATAAGAAAAAAATATTTATTAGGATAATAACAATAGACCAATGAATGTAGCTAGAAGAGGAAAAACTGTGAAAGAGGAAGAAATTATGAAAGAGGAAGAGATCAAAGTTGTGGATCAGATTATTTGCAGAGTTTTCAATTTTACAAATAAAAAAAAATAATATAGTTAGGAATTTTATCAAGTTTAATTTTGTGTAACACATTTGCTTATTAGTTAAATAAAGATTAATTTTTTGATTTTGTTTTTTGAACTCTCACTCTCTCTCTAAACCTAACAATTGCATTAAAAATATACAAGTATATAATTATTGAGTTCACTTTTGTTAAAGATATATATATTTTATAGTAATGATACAATATAAATAATAATAAATAGAAAAACTTTTAGCCAATAAAAATTATATTCTGGAATTTTCCATATATTCAGTTGACATTTATAGAATTTATAGAATTCCGCATTTGGTAAATCAGGCCATATTCTGATCATCCCACCTGACACTTATATTCAAATTATAATAAAGAACAATTTCAATGAAAATAAATCAATTTTTAAAGGAAGAATTCTTTTGTATATACATAGTGGTAAGTGCATTTTCGAGATCGAATTTAATTAATAATATAAAAAAAAAAGATCAAATTGTAGATAATCGATTTAAATTTAAATGAAAATCTTTATTAGGAACTTAGGTTTACATAAAATAAAGAAAATCAAAAAAAGGTATTGGCAAGTTTGTGTTGATCGATGCACTACATAATATAATGTGTAATTGTAGAAACCATGTGAAATAAAAAACAAAAAGAATCAGGATAAGGATAAAAGGATAAAAGACGTATTAACTAACACGCCATTGTGACGTAATAAATTTACATATATAAATAAAAGTTTCGACAATTTGACAGTCATCTTTATTACTTTATTGTTCTTACTGAATTCCAATAACATTCAGGCATGTCTGAGGCAGCTGACGAAAATTATATTTCAAAAGGTCGTTATCACAAACGTACTTTTACTGGTTTCAGGAAACAAGATCTCAAAAAAGAAATAGCCAAATGGTCTCCAAGAACTTTGGATTTATGGGAAAAACATGCTGTCTCTGAAAATGATGGTTTGTATTATCATTAAAACTTTTGAATGAATTATTTTGATAGATTTATTCGATACGACTTAAAATCTAAAAATTTTCATCATGAAAGATAAGGAAAGCTTTCAAAGTTCCTTCGTTCGTCACGTGACATCCACACTTGCCCGATCAGTTTATAATATCGATAACTTTAGTGCGTATCAAGCAACAGCTCACACGTATGTTATCAAAGAAAAGGAAATCAAATTTTATAAATTTAGAAATTTTATCTTATTAAATTTTTTGTTTATGCAGTGTTCGAGATCGATTGATCAAGCGATGGAATGACACACAACAAGTTAGTTTTGATAATTTACATGTGCTTTAAATTGTATGAAATATTTTTTTTTTATCTATAAACATACTTTGTTTAACTTGGTTTCATTTTTTTTTTTAGGTACATGCCGAAGTTGGTCTAAAGCGTGTTTATTATCTTTCTTTGGAATTCTTATTGGGTAGATCATTAGATAATGCTCTTCTTAATCTAGGATTGAAAGAAAATTATGGAGGTACATGCTTTATATTATTATTTTTTTTTATGATCATTTATTGTTCTTCATTACATCCTCATATAAAATGTAAGGAGCATCTAAAGAGTATATAATATATGTAGAGCATGGTATAATTCTAATTAGCATTACATTTTTTAAATAGAGGGTATCAAAGACTTGGGTTTCAGGATGGAAGATATTCTCGACCAAGAGGTTGACGCTGCTCTTGGCAACGGTGGTTTGGGTCGCCTTGCTGCTTGTTATATGGATTCTTTAGCTACATTAGATTATCCGGCTTGGGGTTACGGTCTCAGATACACTTATGGTATTTTTCAACAAAGGTAATTTATATTATTACGTGTTAATAAAAATAAATCGGAATTATTTGTTTAAATTTTATCTTTTGAACGTTATAGATTAAACGATGGTTTCCAAGTCGAATTCCCAGATTATTGGTTAAATTTTGATAATCCATGGGAATTACCTAGACTTGATGTTGTTATCGATACTCATTTCGGTGGTACTGTTAGTAGATATACTGATGATAAAGGTCGAGTACGGGCCATCTGGGAAGGGGGTGAACCAATTCAAGCCGTGGCTTATGACGTACCTATTCCTGGTTAGTATTAGAATGTATTCACACAACACACACACATTATAAATTATAATAAAATTTATTTCAAAATATAGGTTACGGTACTAAGAATTGCATCAATATTCGTCTATGGAGTAGTAAACCAAAACGTCAATTCGATCTTAAACATTTCAACGAAGGTCAATACGAGAAAGCAGTTCAAGCACAAATGGAGGCTGAAAACATTACCGCAGTTTTATACCCGAATGATAACCATATGGTCGGCAAGGAATTGCGTCTTAAACAACAATACTTTTGGGTTGCCGCCAGTCTTGCAGACATGTAAGTATCATTTAAGTTTAGATAATAGCATTAATTTAATTATTAAACCTTTTTTTATTTTATTTAGAGTCCGTCGGTTTAAGAAAACTGAAAGACCATTTGTCGACTTTCCGTATATGGTATGCAATTTTGATAGTTTCAAAAAAAAAAAAAACTGTAATACGAAAATCTTACTAATTATGTTTAAATTTACATATAGGTTGCTATTCAATTAAATGGTAAGTCGCTTTATTATTATCAAAGAATTTTTCTATATTAGATTTTTATGTTATTATTATTATTTTATCAAAGATACCCATCCTACACTTGCCATTGTCGAATTACAAAGAATCTTGGTTGATATCGAGGTATATATTCTAGTCTCTTATTTAGAGATCTTTTTCAGTTCCAATTTGTTATTTTATTTACAAACATATATTTCAATTTTTTAATAGGGTCTCGACTGGGATGATGCATGGGAAATCGTTACCAATACATTTGCATTCACAAATCACACAATTCTTCCTGAAGCTATGGAAAAATGGCCTGTTCCTGTGATATCATATTTGTTACCAAGACATATGCAGATTATTTTTGATATCAACCTAGTAAGTTGATAATTGACAAATGTAAAATGTTTCATGTTTGAAAAGGATTAATAATAATTTGTTTTTATACAGTACTTCTTACAAAATGTCGAACGAAAATTTCCTGATGATCGTGATATTTTAGCAAGATTATCTATTATTGAAGAATCGACGCCACAATTTGTGAGGTATATTGAATTTGTTTGATATCCATGATGTCTTTATTAGAATAAGTAGGAAAAGTAGTAATGAATTTATTTATTTATTCCTTTCTTTCATATTTTAGAATGGCACATCTTGCTATTGTTGGTAAGGATTTTTTTTTTCGTTTCGGGATTTTTATTTAAAATTTTTATGAACGTAATAATGTAAAAATCCAATAATTAGGTTCACATCGTGTCAATGGTGTTGCTGAGTTACATTCAAACTTAATTAAAACAACGGTATATATTACAATTTAAATTTTTGATTATTCTATACAATTATTTAAATTTTGGTTTTGATTGAAATAGATCTTTAAAGATTTCGTTAAATTTTTTGGTCACGATAAATTTGAAAACAAAACCAATGGTATTACTCCTCGCAGGTAATAAAATTTCTATTATTAAACTTTTTTTTTTAATTGAAAAGAGAAAAATAATTAAGGAAAAAAATTCTTATAGATGGTTACATCAAGCAAATCCTAAATTAAGTGATTTGATAACTGAGAAATTAGGAAACAAAGATTGGTTGAAGGTATTTTATTTGTCTGATAATTTTTAAATTACAATATTTATAAAATTTAAAATAACAAAAAAAATTTTTGTTTTAAAGGATTTATTCAAATTAAAACAACTCGAAAAATACGTTGACGACGAAGAGTTTAGGAAACGGTGGGTTACCGTTAAGCATTCTAATAAGGTTAGTTGTTTAGATTCTTGTAATTATAATATTGAATATATTGAGACAGTTTTTTTTTTTTTAATTAAATTAGGTTCGTTTAGCAGACTATATCAAGGCTCAAACCGGTATTTTAGTCAGTTCAAATGCTTTGTTTGATATTCAAGTAAAGCGAATCCACGAATATAAAAGACAATTTATGAATATTTTGAGGTAAGTTAATTCTACTGAAAGTTAATAACACAATTTAATTTAATTTAATTTTTTTTTTTGATTTTAGTGTCATTCATCGATATAATTTATTGAAAAAGATGACCCCTAAACAAAGACGAGAAGTCGTTCCTCGCGTTGTAATCTTTGGAGGGAAGGCAGCACCAGGTATATAATAAGAAAAAAAATTATTATTTTTTTGAATTAACATTTACATTAATGTTACGAATTTGAACATATATTTTATAGGTTATTATATTGCCAAATTGGTAATTAAACTTATAAATAGTGTAGCCGACGTTGTGAACAAAGATCTTAGTATTGACGATACTTTGAAGGTAATATTCATTTATTTAAAAATTCCCTGCATTTATGACCTATAAAAACCAACAAATTTTAACGAAATCAATTTTTAGGTTGTTTTCATTCCTGATTATAATGTTTCAGTTGCAGAAATAATTATTCCTGCCTCCGATATTTCACAACACATTTCCACAGCTGGTACTGAAGCATCTGGTACTAGTAATATGAAATTTGTTTTGAACGGTGGTTTAATTCTTGGAACTGTTGACGGAGCAAATATTGAAATTCATGAGGAAATTGGTGATGAAAATATTTTCATGTTTGGAAATTTGGCAGATAAAGTGGAAGACTTGAGACACGCCCATAGGTAATTTCAAGATTTAATTTAGTATTATATATTTTTTAATAATTATTTATTTTAATAATATTTTATTTAATATTATTATATATAGGTATCGAAATGTATCAATGGATCCTGCATTAAAAGCAATATTGGATGATATTGAATCTGGACATTTTGGCGATCCTCGCATATTTTCTCCTTTAATAAATACTTTGACTATAGGAAAAGATTATTACTTACTCTCAGATGATTTCGGTTCATATCTTCGTGCGCAAGATATGGTGGATGAGGCTTATAAGGATAAAGAAGAATGGGCAAAGAAAAGTATTCTATGCACAGCCCGTATGGGTAAATTCTCATCGTAAGTATATATATATATATATTATTGTTGTACAAATCTTTTTTATTGTTTAATAATAATTACAATTTTATTATTAGTGATCGTGCGATCAAAGAATATGCTGAAAGCATTTGGGAAGTCGTACCTGTATCCGTTGAGAAAGAAAGAAAAAAGAAATCAAATGAATATACTTAGATAGATTTATTATTTATTGAGTAATTCGGTTTTTCTTTTTATTGATAGTTTAGAACTCCCCCAACATATATTGAAATAAAACTATTCATTTTTTCATAAATTTGATCTAATTATCATAATAATTCGTAAAATCTATTTTCATTTTGATTTTTTTTTTTAACCAATGGGGATTCTTTATTGATAATTATCATTTTAATATTTCTGTCACTTTCTCGGATTTTAATTTTACAGTTTACAAATAATTGGTATCTTTTTTATTCATCAAATTTTTCTTAGCACTTGATCTACAGGTTTGTTATGAAATGGCCAAAAGATGATCACCTGTGCCCAAAGTGTTATTGTTGATATAGAAGATTTAAATACTATATCATATATAAAAATAAACCTAGTGGTTATATCTATATTTGGTAACGAAATATTTTGTCATATCTCAATCAATATTGCTCCAATATACATAAAAATACTACCATTTGATTCCTTGCAGTGAGATTAATCGAATGAGCTATAGGTCGCTAAAATCTAATTAGCAATTATTATAGCAATTATCGATATCTTTAATTTTAAATTATACTATAACTGATCTAAAAAATCATCACGTATTAAAACAGGAGGATTCTTATTCAAAACACACGTGATTGTGGTTGTTGATATTTGATTGCGTCACGCGAATTGCTCACGAACTCATCAGAATTTTTTTTGGTTTATTTTATTTTCAATTCGTAATTTCTCAAATATTTCATATTTCATTAACATTCAGCGTCTAAATTTAATAAATAATACTTTAAAAATTTTATAGTTGTGAAAATGGTATTTTCTTTTTTTATTTTTTTTTATGAATTTGTAATTTCACACAAACTTTGCATTTCATATATATTTCATAAAATTAATAAAATTTTTTATTTTACTAATAAAGAATTATTCTCAGAGATCTCAGAGACAAATAAATAAAGAAAATAAAGAAAATAGAGAAAATAAAAATAAAGAAAATAAAGAAAATAAAGAAAACTGTACATATAATTTGACCCAGTAGGTTTTACTAATATCATTTAAATCAAGAAATAAATATACAATTCCAACGTTTATATAACATAGAAATCAAATATATTTACTTTTTTATAATTTGAATAATTTTATAGACCAACTAGACAAACCATACCGCAATTTTCTATAAATAACTTTGAGATTGGAGGAGAACTTGGTAAAGGAAAATATGGTCGTGTTTACGTGGCAACTGAAAAGACAAATGGATATGTCGTTGCATTAAAGATATTAAATAAAGAAGAGTTACTTAAAGAAAAACTTATAATTCCGTGGGAGAGAGAAGTTGAAATTCAAAGAAATCTCAAGTACATGTCATATGATAATATTAAAAATATTAAATACAACAATAATAATAATATTATTATTATTAAATTTATTAATATCAAAATTTATTAAATTTTAAACAATTATAAATTAATAGGCATCCAAATATTCTTAAACTTTTTGGTTGCTTTCAAGATGAGAAACATATTTTTATGATTTTAGAATTAGCTCAAGGATGTTTATATTATTATCTTAAACAACATCAAAGATTTTCGGAAAGACGTACTTCAATGGTAAAATATTTTATAATCATAATTTATAATAATTATAATAATTATAATAATTATAATAATTAGATAATTATATATATATTCATTTTTTTCATTTAGTATATCGCACAGATTTCTTGTGGATTAAAATACATTCATCAGAATAATGTTATTCACAGAGATATAAAACCTGAAAATATTTTGTTTGGACAAACGGGAGAACTTAAACTAGCGGATTTTGGTTATGCTACATATGTGCCAGATTCAAGGTCTATTCTTATAAAAAATTTTTTTTTTTTTTAATTTAATTTATAATAATATTATCATTAAATTATTATTATTATTTATTATTATTATTATTATTATTATTATTTTAAAATTTTAAAATTATTTATTTTATATATTCAGTAGTTTTAAACCCACGGCACTTTGTGGCACCTTGGACTACTTTGCACCAGAGATGTTGATGCGTATCCCATATAATGAGAAGGTAGACATTTGGTCACTTGGAATTTTATGTTATGAATTATTAGTTGGTGTCCCTCCATATGAATCATGGGATTATAAAGGAACTTGTGAAAGGATCGTGAATGATGATCCCATTCTTCCAGATTATTTATCACCTGAAGCAAAGCATTTTATTTTATTGGTAACTATTATTATTATTATTATTATTATTATTATTATTATTATTATTATTATATATTATTATTATTATTATTATTATATATTATTATTATTATATATTATTATTATATTAAATGATACTTACAATATTTTTAATTCTATTTTAACTCTAATTACAAGTTGCTACGTAAAGATTCTAATCTTCGACCATCAATAATAGAAGTTTTAAATCATCCATGGATTCAAAAGTATAACACTATAAGACCTATACCTATATTACAAAACATGACAAATCGGTCTTAGCAAGTCAAAGTTGAGAGGAAACAAATAAATGTATAAATATAATTTTAATAAATGATTCTTTTTTTTTCTAGTTTTCTAAGTACATAATCATATTATTTAAAAAAAAAAATAATATAATTAGTATCTCATTTTTTGTATTTATCCTCAGACTCTAATCTTTAATAGTCAATATGACTTGTAAATAAAAACAAAAAGAAACAAATTTATAAACATACAAAATATTTATACCGTAGAATTTTTGATCATCATCAAAATTAAACTGATTCGCATATTACAAGATCATGTGAAAAATCATGATATAATTTATATTTGTTTCGATATAAGTTAGCAATCATCATCATTATTATTATTATTATTAACAAAAAAAAAAATTTTAAAATTTAACCGATTTGCACATTAACAAGATCATGTGAAAAAATCATGATATAATTTATATTTATTTCGATATAAGTTATATAAATTTAGTAATCATCATCATTATTATTATTAAAGAGTTCTATTTTATTTAGTAGGCGGCAGTCATGTGAGCGAATGGAGCTTAGAATAAATAAAAAAAAAATATTAATAGAAGATTTATTAATTACATTTGAAATAATCTTGTGATAAGTTAAACTTACCAATAACGTGTTCCTTAAATTCAGGACTTAGTGGACCAGCCGGGAAAGCATAAATGACATTGTTTACGTTGCCACCTAAAAAAAGATTTGTTTATTCAACAATGAACATCAAAAAGTATAAAATATTTAAAATCTTTAAAATATTATCCACTCACATTCATCACAGTGTGTAGGTAAATCACCATTGAAGTGCCAACTTCCGTCGACAACAAATTTGAATTGATGTTGCTTTGTAAGGTCGATATCAACGATAGCAACAAAATCATCTGTGCCAGGTTTACGATGCATTTCGTGTTTCGTAGCTAAATGTTTAGTTATATCACGTGATTTAACAATATGTAGAAGTATATATAAATAAATGACGCGTCTTTTTTTTTTTTTTTTATATACCTTGCCAATTGTCAAAATCGCCAGTAACGAAAACTTTGTTTCCACCATGTCTCCAGTGGAACTGTTAATATATAATTAATTATTTATCGTCAATTATATATGTATATATTATTTAATCAAATCCAGATTAATAAAAGAAAATAATACCTCAATTGGAATTATCTTGGAATCTGGGTCAATGTTATTATTATTTGTTGTTTTCCTTTCAAATGGTGGACAAACGATTTCCAAAGGTTGATTCTGTCTTATTTCACTTTCTTGTGATTTAGTTTTGTTGATTTCTTTAATTGGTTCAATATGAGGCTCATTTGGAACACATATTTCATTAACGGTCTCATCTGGTTTTAACTCCGAGGGAATTCCTGTGATAATATTTACTACCATTTGTTCCATTGAAGTACATATCTCCGTTTCTGAATCTTTTGGGATAGCCCTTTCTTTTTGTTGCTCTTTCAACCTTTTTTCGGCTGTTTGTTTGTCTTCATTTCCTTTAATAAGGTAAAGTGTACTTTGTAAAATTAACAATATAAGCTCTAAAAATAAAATGATGAATTTATCCAGCCAAAATCTTGGAGACAATAATTTATGAACCATTTTTTTTTTTTAAGAGAGAATTATGGGAGGATTAAGAGAGAATTATGAGAGAATTATGAGAGAATTATGAGAGAATGTCACAGGTAAGAAAAAGAAAGAGAAATCGTGAGATTTTTTTTTTTTTGTTATCACAAATTATTGAAATGATTGAATGATTGAAATGATTGAAATCAAAAAAAAAAATTTTAATTGGCTACGGAACAGGAAAATTCCGATTTTTTTATCGAATAAAAGAAAAACGGAAGTTTTTTTATATTTCGATTGTTATTCTGTTATTTGGTTCTGATTGTTTTATTTGTAAAAATTGTAAAAAGGAAAGATTTGGTGGTAATGCAAGCATATGTACATATATACACAAAGTTACACAGTATTAGATTAAAAAGATAGACTCCTAAAAAATCCCCCTTCAGATCCATTCCAATTGTAAAATTGTAAAGAATTATAATAAATAATAATGTCATTAAAGATATTTTTTACGCGAAAAATGATTAAATCGTGGACTTAATTTCATCATTAATGGCAATTTCAAAGTTATAATAAATACTATCATATTGAATATTGAATAGTTACACAGATTTTAATTTACAAATTTTATAGATACGCCACTTTTCCTAATTTCTGCAGAATGTGGTTTATCTTTTATGGAGAATTTCCTAAAATAACCATCTGTCTATCTAAAGTTTGTTGGTGAGAATATTTCGGACATTTATCTTAATATAAATTTTTAAATAAATAATAAATCCAGTAAGAATTGATTGACTCAATTATAATTATTATAATTGTAAATTTATAACTTTTTAAATATACTAAAAATTATTTCAAGATTTTTGAGGACTTGATGTTGATGTTGATGTTATGGAAACGGGTTCACCATCCATTGTTCCTATTTGATAGGAAATAATCGTGAATGAATATTTAAAACATATCTAAAACATATCTTATTCACAAATAACATGGATAAATTAATAAATTATTTACCTTTATGAACAAATTCTAGAGTCATCGCTATATCTCTCATATCTTTTTCTATTACTTCTGCCCAATTTTGAACGTCACCCAATTCCTTTTGTTATAAAACATATTATTATCAATGTTTTGTTCTGTAATTGTTGCAGACGTATTGAGAATAAAATCAACCAACCTTCAGTGCTGAATTAAAACTATCCAACATATTTAACCATTGTTTGGTTTGCTTTGTATATTTAAGAGATTGTGTAGAGAGACGTCGGGCCTCAGATTCAATTTCACGTTGTGTTTTGAAAATGGATGCGACTCTGGTAGAAGTAAAATATGATCAAAAGTTATAAAAAAATAATAATAATAAAAGTTGTTTAAAATTGTTTTTAATTTTACCATTTGTTTGTTTAGATATAATATTAAAAAAAATGATTCCTTAATAAAAAAAAGAAAACAAAAAAAAAAAAAAAAAGAAAGAACTCTACCTTTCGTTTAATGTATCTGCCAAACAATCAGTCACCTCGCTCACTGATTGTACGGCTTCTTTCCGAAGTTGCTCTGTGGTTTGTACATAATATAGTCAAACTAAAGAAAGTTGTGATATACTGTGATCTCCGTGAAATAATATCAATAATATATTTTACATTACCATTATTCCGCCTTACACTCTGTTGTTTTTGATTATGTTCTTTCACTAGTCTCGAAAGCATACTGGAGAAAAAGCTCAAATTTTATAAAATTATAAAATCAAATTATAAAATTATAAAATTATGTAATACCTAAATAACCCTAAATAGCTAATGCATCAACTTATTACTTTGTTCAACACGCACGTGTTTGACAAATGGATAAGGTATAAATACTCGATTTCCTTTTGAAATACTTTCTCTACAAAATGAATTTCTGGTTAAAAAAAAAATGGTTTATGGTATTCGTGAATTATTTTTTATTATGCCGTCTGATTCGAGCAAACACTGAAAAAGAAATCTTTACTGCTGACACTGTTAAAGTTCCCAAATCCATTATTGAAGAAATTGGTGTTCGTGAAGATTTAGTGGTTGATTAATTATTATTTTACTTTTTCAATGAAATTACTTTAAAAAAAAGTATTTTAATAAAAAAAAAAAAAAAAAATTCTAATATCTTTTGTAAAGACCTTGATACCTCCATATACTATCCAACGTTACGAAAAGATAATACCTTTCCGAAACGAAGAAGAATTTTCATTAACTGGAGAAAATGGTGAAAAGGAAAATTGGTACATTCTAGATGGTTTGGAAGGAGGTCATACATACGAAGCAAGAATATCTTACGTTGCATCTGTGAGTTGATATTTAAAAAATTTCTCGTTTTATGAAAAAAAAAAATTAAGTTAAATATTATTTTGTTTCATAATGAATGAATAGTCACCTTCAACTTTTATTTTGGAAATAATGGGATTGGAGGAAGCAACGAGAATTTTGAACAAACAGAAAGGATTACAAAATAATGGTTCGGTAAATTAATTTAATTAACTACATTATAAATTTAATTTAATTATTTTCTCTAATATTTAATATTATATTTTTTCTAATATCTTATTTTATATTTATTATTTATAATAGAATTTTGAATCCCAGGAGAAACTCTCAACTACCCAAAAATTTATTCGTGTGAGAGCAATTCATGATGGTGTATCTGTCATTCCGGGTAGAGATTCTCAACCAGTAATATATAATATTGGTATGTGGATTTCTTTCATTTTTTTTTTTTTTTAATTCATTTTTTTTTCCAATAACATAAATTTAAAATAAAATTTTTTGATTTTAAGTTTTGGAAACACTATTATTCGGCGTCCCACGTGTGGCATTCAAACTAATATTAGTTCTTGGTGTTATGATGGGCTTGATATATTTTATATTGGTACCAATGATATACAAATCTTTACAAAAAGTTATTGTAGGTGATGAAAAAGAGCATGAAGAATAATAATTTTATTTATTTAAAAAATTTCGAATCTAATTAGTTTAATTAATATCTGATATTTGTCCGTTTTATTTTAAAAAAAAATACTTTCCAAACAGACTGAATTATTCAAAACAAAAGTCCAAATAATAAAAATAATAAATAATTTAATTATCTAATAAATTTAAATAAAAGGATCCAACTTCGTTTTTATACACATGTATTTTATATATTTTATATATTTTATATATTTTATATATTTTATATATTTTATATATTTTATATATTTTTTGTACACTTTTACCAAATAGCTTTCTTGACTCCTGGAATTTCACCAGCTAAAGCTTTTAACCTAAATTGATAACGGCAAAGTTTTGAATCGCGTAATACACCGCGGCCGCGCCCTGTCTCGACACACCTATTTTTGATGGTAGTAGGACGAGCAGCGCGAGGAAAGGAGTTCAGCATAAGTTGAGCTTGTTGGCGAATTCTTGGAGAAATCTGCTCATTACGTGTAATATAACGGTAGGCTTGTCGAATCAATTCGGTCATCGCGACAGTCTCGCGAGTTTTTATATCACGTAAAACTCTAGCTTTGCGGAGGACACGAAAATTCATGTTGACCAGGATGAAAGAGAGATTTACGGTAGAATCTATTAAATCCAAATGTCACATGAATACATGTAATCACGATCCGCTAAACTGGGGTTTAGGTTAAGGAAAGGATCCTCATTTCCTAATTATATAAACGCGTCTTTTTTCCCTTTTTCATTTTTTTTTCAACTTTCTTTCTTAACGATAAATTATAAGAGCGAAAATAAATTATTATTATATTTCCCTTTTCCGCTTTTTATTCTTTTTTTTTTTTGTTCTAAGTTTTATAACTTTTAATAATATTATTATAATTCCTCTTTCGTTTAGTTATAACCTTGTTGATTGAACTCATAAATAAATAACAGTAGAAAAGTGAGGTATTTATTCTATCTATCTCTATTTCTTTTTTTGATTTTCTTCTTTTATTACTCTGTTATCTAACTCTTCTCATATTTTTTGCCATATCTATCACTACACATACAAGTGTCTATGGGATGCATAAAAAATGGGGGGATTCATTATTTTTATAGAAAATATTAAATAAAGTTTATTTAATTTAGGCGAAAATTGCAAAAAGCAAGAAGACCTCCATATGAGAAGATCTCCGCCACTGCGTAACATGAGTGCCGCGCGTGATGTTTAGGTCCTTGACCATAACTGTTAGTGCAATGAGGATATGAGTGCCAAAGTGGAGAATAACAAGGATGCCTTCATGAGTGCCAAAGTATTATCTATTCTGTGTTACCAGTTCGTCTTGATGCCTCTTCATTTACCAGTGCCAAAGTGTTCGTAGTTTCACCAAAGATGAAGGGAAAGTATTCCAGTGGTACCTGAAATCAGCTGAAGGAGGAAGTAGTGATAGACAATTAAATCTTGGATATTGTTATGAAAATGGGATTGATTCCCGGGATTATTTTCAACAAAAAAAAGTGTAAGACAAAAATTAACTTAAATTATCGAGTAAGTATTTAAAAATTACATTCGGAAAAGGGATTTTACATTTATTTTCTTTATTTTCTTTGTTTATATGTGTTTAGTTATTTCCAAGTAAAGTAATTTATTGTAATATGATAATAATAATAATAAAAAGCCTTAGATTTAAAATATTTTTTGTAATGGGTCATAATTTTAATTTTATTATTTGCTGTTTAATAAATTATTACATTTTATTCGCGTGTATTTTTACAAAAATTTTTTATTATAATTGATGTCTTTCCGTTTTTCCTAACTTTTGATTTCATAATTCAAGGCAAATATTAACATCTATTCTTTTTCACATTGTGGATAACAAAAGTGTTCGTGTATTACTAATTCTATTTTAAGTTACTTTAGATTACATAACTATAGTAATCACGCGAATTGCGTTAAATTTATACGTAAATATATTTATATAAAATTGAGAAAGATAAAAAGAGCATATATCTTTATAATATATATATTTTTCGAATGTTTAAATAAAGATTGTTCAAATGTTTAAATATTTAAATAAAAAAAAAAAAATTTATTATGATTTATCAAAATTAACTGGCTAAAATTACGGATATCCGGATTTTCCACGGATCGGACCATTAAATTGATTATCAAGTATATTGGATTTTGAACTTTAACAATTTCCTATTTTGATTATTCGTGTGACAATCATTTTTATTTAATAACTAACTTAGATTATCATTAAATTTAAATTTCAAATGGCTTTACCAACTTGGCTCGCTGATGACATGAATTGCGGACAAAATAACCCATTATCGGGTTTTACGAAACAATTTTCTCAAGATCGGTCTTTGCATCAAGTACGCAAATTCCCAATGTCGACTAGATTTACCAAAATTTCTTTATTCACATTTGATCTATTTCTTTTTTTTTTTTTTTAGGATCGACATATTCCACTTGGCGAAGGATCTTCTAAAAGGGTATTATATTTAGTTATATTCTTTTTTTTTAAAAAAAAAAAAATTTCAAAACAAATAATATATTAACAACCATTTATTTTTATTATCGATTTAGACATTTAGGTCAAATACAATTAAAGAAATAAAAGATAATAAAGTAGGTATTCAGATCAACGAATCTTTTTTTTTTTTGAAATAATTTTAGAAATTAAATTTTTCTGACTTAAAATTTGTTCAACATAATATGAGCAGAATTTTTTCCAACAAGATCCTTATAACCCATACAATTTTGATCGAATCAACAACGAACTTGAAGTTATTAAGCATGATATTCGAAGTGATAATTGGGCGGAAGATTTTATCAAAAAATCTAATTCGTCACAAAGAATTATACCTAATCAAGGTGACTTTATAAAATTCATGATGAATCTAATATATATAAATATGAATTATAAAATTATACTATTGGACATTTATTAACATTTATCACAAATTTATTATTAGATAATTGGGTTTCCGATTATGCACAATTTAATAATATTAATTCTCTAAATTTGAATCGGGATGAAGTTGCTGCTTTCGAAGATTCTTTTCTTGTTGCTAATAAAGGTATTTATATCAAACTTTAATTTTTTATTATCAAAATTATCTCATATTTTTTAACACATAAACATTTCTGCAAGTAGAAATAGATTGGGAAGCTGAATTTAATGCATACGAAAAATTGGGGAATTTTGAATTTAATGAACAAAATGTACAGGAAAATTCATGGACAACGGAATTCCAGCAACATGAACAACAACAAAAAAATGATTTAGAAATAAATGGTGATTCGAAAACTCAATTAGCTGAAACAGCTGGTCAGTTGATCGAATCTGTAGTGAGTGAAACTAATCCAAAATTCAAAAACTCAACATTTATGAATTTCATGAAAAAATTGAGAGATCATGAAATTTGTATAGAAGGAAATAAAGTTGTTGAACAAAAGGAACCAGTTTCTAAGGTTGATGATTGGGTAAACGAATTTAAAGATAAGTCTCAAGAATTTATTGCGGATTACAATAATGATAAATCATCAACGTTGTACAATATACATAATTTTGAAACGACTTCAAATATGATAGATTTTGCCTCGGAATTTAAAAATTTTAATGAACTTTCCACAAGGAAGGATTTAGATGGTTGGACAAACCATCTTGATGAAAATATCAATAACAATATAGATTCACTATTGCAAGAATATGATTATGATTGGAATAAATATCATCCTTCTAGCACGGGATATAAACATGTGTAAGGCTTAAAAAATCTGATCCTTTAGAGATCCTGGTTCAGTGTTTAATTTTTAATTTTTAGAATTGTTGACCATATATTTTTACATATTTAATGGTTAAACAAATTATTTATTTGATTTTATTGTATTTGTATTTTTAATATTTTATAATTCAACTTTTACTATCTTTTAAGACAATGTGATGTTCTGGCTGTTATGTGATATATTACACTTTACAAGATATATATATATATATATATATATAATATGTTAACATATAATTATATGCACAAGTCAAAAATGAAGAAAAAAAAAATAGAATAAATATTGACAACAGATTTATGATGATTATTATATTAAATTTATACAAATTCAAAATATATTCTTTAATAATTTTGATAATATCAATATATTCTAATAATTATCTATTCTATTCTTCAAAGATTTACCAAATACTGAATGTAAATTTTAAAATTTTCCATAATTAATATAAAAAATAAAATTAAAATTTTAAAAAAAAACTTGTATTTAATTATATATTTTACAAAACCCAAAATTAAAAAATCTTTATGGTTTTTTTTTCTTGCTTTTTCCTTTTCTCTAAGTCTTTATTTGTGGTACAAAATAATTCTATATGTATTATTGAAAATGAAATATTTATATTTTACTCAATTTATAATAATGAAATAATTACTTTGTTATTAAATAGGAAAAAGAGTATAGATTCAATCATTTATCTCTTTCCTAATTCCGTATATGTTAAAATGTTTTTTTTCCAAAGTCTTTCAGAAAGCTCAGCTTTTTTTAATTTTTTTTTATATAAAAAAAAAAATTCTGGTCAATCAAAATTATTACAAAATCAATTTCATTCAATTGTTCATTTCCTTTTTTTATCCCATTTTTTTTCATTTCATTCAACTTTCCAAGGATTCAAAAGCCCTAACGAAGAAGCCCAAAATGATGGTCTTCCTGATTCTGCACCGTGTGGATGTAAATTCTTTGCTTTTAAAGGGTTCACATCATTATCCGACCTGTTATTATTCATTGTATTCGTTTTAAAAATTGGTGATGATAGACGACGATAAAATTTTGCATTATCACTATCACCTTCATTATCATGAAAATAGTTTTCGCTAGGCAAATTAGGTAAACTTCTTCGGTTTTCTTTCATATTTTTTGATGATTCCTCGTCTCCATAACCTAATAATTCTTGAAGTTCATATAAGAGCATCACTGTAGGAGAAGGAGGTGAATCTCTACTATTAATAGGATTACTACTAATAGTGTTATGACTCATTGTATTATTATTAGTATTAGATAATAATAATCTAAGACCTTTTATTTCAGGTTGTGGTGGTTTTGAGTTTCTATTATCATTATCTTGTTTCGCAATGGTTAGAAGTTGCTTTATAACTTCCTGGACACGATCTTTGCTCTCTGATGAATTAGGTAAAGAAGAATTAAGAAAAGACTGAGATTTTGACTTTTCTTTTTTTTTAGATTTAGATTTAGACTTGGATTTGGTTATGGATTGTTTTTTTGATGTTAAATCATCATCTGTTGTTAATATGTTATTATCGACACCGGTAGATTTCTCAGTAGACGGTATAGTAGTATTGGTAGTATCGTCTGAATCATGTTGTTGTTCTAATTTAATTTCTATTTCAGAATTATCAAAATTCGTTTCTGCTAAATAGTTGACAAAAAAAAAAAAAAGATTTAGATAAAAATTTAATAATAAACATATGTTATTAAGTTATCTAACCTAAAGCCGAGTTTTAACAGACCTATTTCTGCATTTGTTAAAACTCGACTTCCAATTAACTTTGAAGAATCAAGTGCAAGTGCTTCCTGTGCATCCTGAAGTAATTTATCTGTCATAAGATATATTTTGAAAAATCGGACATCCTTAGCCAATTCAGCTAAATCCATCTAAATAATATAATAAATTTTGTTATTCTCTTTCTCATTAAAAATATAATATAATGTAATATAATATTCATATAAGCACTTGCCTCTGATAATTCATCATCATGTATTTCAGATTTAATGGAATCATTTCTAGAAATATTTAATAATTTTTAAATATAATAAATAAAAAGTAAAATAAAATAAAATAAAATAATATAAAAAATAAAATAAAAAATTTACATTTGAAGTTTTCTTTTTAATTCAATAATCTCAGAGTTTAATTTTTTATTAGCTGCATCTAATTCAGAATTTATTGAGATTAATGATTTTATAGAGATTTCCAAATCCGCAATCTGAGCGATATGAATAATTTAGAATAATCATATGATGGATTTGATTTTATTATTATTAGAATTGTCTGAATACAGAAATATTTTTCGAAAAAAATCAATAAATTGTAATTCTTTATTAACTTGAGTATATAAAATTAATAAACTTACCTTTCTATTTTTTCTTGCCTCTTCTGCTTGTTTATCGACTTGTAATTGACGATTTGCTGCCAACGTAGCCAAATTAAGATTATCCAAATGAGATTTTTCTGATAAATCGGAAGATGCGGATCCAAGAGAAGATTTTGAGCGAACCCGTATAATAGTATCCGACTTGATCGAAGGTGCTCTATTATAATAACTCATGCTACTATGCGTACTCAAATTTGAGTTAACAGAATGTGCAGATTGATTGCTATCAGAATCAGAATGAAAGCCATCGTCTGACCTGGCTTTCTCTTTTTCTGGTAACCCTAAAGTTTTACTTCGGGGAACACGAGGAATACCGTTACTAGTGCTAGACTTTCCTGGCATGGTATTACTACGCATGAGTGGCGTTGGTGGTTGTACAATAATATCAAGTTTCGCGCTGTTTTTAACTCTTATTTTACGAGTTTTAACGGGGTTTGAGTGATCAGTCATGATGGTTTTTTTTAAAAAAAATTTTTTTTTCGATCTTATTTTTTTTTCTGGTCACTGGTAAGTTAAGAAATGATATATTATCAGTCAAAATCGAACCCGGTTCTTAGTTTGATAAATAAAGCAAATAATAATTATATTTAAACCTTGTAAAACTTTTTTTCGGGGGGAGGACAATTAATTTTTTTATAATATTAAATATTAAGTGTGATAAATGTGATAAAAAAGATCTTATGAACTAAAAGATTGATGGATGTATACCTAAATAAAAAAGAAAAAGGAGAAAGCAAGTCAAATTGTTCAAAATTGCGAGAAATTTTTAAGAAAAGAAGAAGAGTTAAAAATATCTTCAATAAATGTAAATAAATAAAAAAAGGTAACTAAAAGAGGGAATGTTGTTGCATCCCCCGTTGTTTATGAAAAATCGATATTGTGACACATTGCCGTAATACGAAAATGCTGTTGTTATGCTGTTGTGTTCATAATAAATTCTCCGATATATAAATATATAAAAAATATTCCCAATTATAATAAATTCATAAATTCATTCTTTCTAAACCTTATGTCACAACTTTATAATATATATAAAAACGAAAATCTTGGCCTTATATAAAGGAAAAACTTCTCACATCGGCTACCACCAAACCAAATGGTGGATAGTCTAAATTACATTCTTTGCACATGAAAATTGATTTATTTCGTTCTGATAGGAAATGACCGGAATATCATTTACTTATTGGAAAAAACAGGAAAAATCCACATCGGATTTCAGTTGTGCACCAGTTGTGTATCATGACGATGTAATACTTGCGTCTTTATTAAGCCACTCAAACCTTAAATTCTTAATTTATCAATTTTATCAGCCTCAGGGTCACCTTTACAAAATAATTTCAATCTAAACGCGTCTACTCCATTAAGATAATATCTGTAAAGACGTTTATCTCTAATAAACCCTAAATTATGATATAATGAAAGGGCCCCTATATTTGTATATTCTGTTTCTAAAACAATCTTTATAACGGGGAAAATTTATGTTAATTTTCATTAAAAAAAATTTTTTTTTTTATCAAAGATTCAAAGGATTATTTATATTATTATTCCAAACCTCATCTGCATATTGTTTTTTCATAGCATTTATAGCCATCTTCACCAATGTAGTTCCTATGAAATATAATAAATAAATCTTCCTATCTCTATTTAATTAAAAAAAATAAAAAATAAAATAGATATACTAAAATAGGTATAATAATCTCAAAAAATAGCTAACCAATCTTTTTTTTTCGATATTCTCGTTTAACTGCTAACATTGCGATGTAACCCCGTAATGCCTCCCGATGTCTATCTAGTTTACAAATTATAACCCCAATACATTCATCCTTGTCCATTGTCTAATACCATCATCAATTAAATGACATTTAGAATATTTACAAGGATACATTAAATTTATATAACCCTCTTTTTCTTAATTAATTACTTACCATGAAACATAAATTTGGCCAATTATTGATAAAATATCGATATGTATATATTGAATAAGGCTCAGACAAATCATTTTCAATTAAAGACATGATGCCTGGAAGTTGAAGTTCAGAAGTGTAAGGAACATATTTAATGTCTTCATCGTTCACTACAGTTGAAGATGCAGAAGTGTTTGCCATTATTTACGAAAAAAATAATAATAACGCAACATTTTAAAAAAAATTTCCTAACCTTATATAAAATTTTAAGTGTCACATGAAATTAAAATGATTTAATTGGAAAATTCATTTAACCAATGGAAATTGAATCAACTTTTATATAAAAAAAAGTAAAACGCGTCGTTTTTCCGAATCATTAAAAGTTTTTAATAAAAAATAATAAACCGAAAATACTGAAATACTATGGAGACTAAAGATAGACCAGACTTGACTTTTGGTTAGTAAACACGTGTATATATAAATATATTTATACAAAAACTTGATACTATGTAACAAACTTGCTTTTGAAAAAAAAAATTAAAAAATTAAAAATTAAAATAAAAAAGAGTTAAAATAAAAGAAGTTTTTTTTTTTTTAGTTTATTTGTCTATTTGATAGAAATGTTTATTGTTTTAATATTATATTGTATACATTAGATAATCAACAAGGTGAACGTAAGTTTTGTTCCTTATTTAGAAGCCTTCCCGAGGTGACTTTTAAAGTTTTGATATATATATATATATGTATTTGATTATTATATAAATTATATAAAGCAAGTAATTAAAAAATTTTAATATACGATAAATCGATATTGACATAGAAATCGGGAAATACTATTCGTCTCTTCGAAAGAAATTGTGGGGTGGGTTAAATTATAAATTTGATGACTTTATAAATGATTTATTATAAATGATTTATTATAGATGACTTATGGGTTATGAATTATTTTTAGGAATATTATAGTGTTCATGGAGATGATGCGATTTACATTTCACAAACCGTTTACAAGACATCATCTATAATAAAATATCTGGGAGGTAATTGTTTAATTGAAAGTTAATAATCTTTATAATTTATAATGTGTTGATTAAACGATTTAATTACTGGATTGATTATTTATTTATTTTTTTAATTAAAATATAATCTAAAATATAATTAAATAGGTGATGTTAAAAATGGAATTCCCAGTTGTACATTATCACGTCTTAACTTGGAAACATTTTTACGTGATTCATTATTGAATAAACAAATGAAGATAGAAATATGGGGACAAGAATCCCGAAAAAATAATGGATGGAAATTAATTAAGAGAGTAAATAGATAAATTAGATTAATCAATGCTTTATTAATTATTTTATATTATTTTATTAAACGATTGATATTTTGATTGGTTTTGATTATTTTTTAATTATTTTAAATTATTATTATTATTACTATTATTATTATTATTAGGCTTCTCCAGGAAATATACAAGAGCTTGAAGATATTATGTTTTCTAATGTCGATGTGGCTACATCACCAATGGTACTTAGTATTAAATTGAAAATAGCCGAAGATCAAAAGATTGTTGGAGTTGCTTTCGCAGATACAACAGTTCAAGAATTAGGTGTATCAGAATTCGTAGATAATGATTTATATACAAATTTCGAGGTATTTTATATAAAATTCTGTAATTCACTTTAAATTTTATATTTATATTATATATTATTTTATATTGTATTCTTAATTAATGATTTAAATTTTTCAGTCTCTAATAATTCAACTTGGAGTTAAAGAATGTATTATTGAATCGCGTAAAGATTACGAAACCTCAAAATTAATGGACGTATTAAATAGATGCGATACGGTTATTACAGAATCAAAAAAAAGTAAATTCAATTTATTTATTTATTTTGACATAGTAGTATAAAGATCTGTCTTATTTTATTCATATTATATTCACATTCTGTTCTTGTGGCTTTTTCAGGTGATTTCGCAATTAACGATATTGAACAAGATTTAAATCGTTTACTTGGTGAAAATGTTTCAGTTGCTTCTCTACGTACGTGAAAATTTTAGAACTTGTAATTTTTTTTTTTTCTTTTGAATCAAAAAAAAAGAGTTTTTAATTTGTTTTCTTTTATACATTAGCCGAATATGAAATGAAAAATGCTATGGCTGCGTGTGCATGCATTATCAATTATTTATCGGTAATTATATTAATTAATTATGCGAACGCTTAAAGACATTTAAAGACACTTAAAAATCATTTTTATTCATTTACTAATTTTGGTTATTGACTAAAGTTAATGTCAGATGAAAGTAATTTTGGTCATTACACATTGCGAAATCATGATTTATCGCAATATATGAGATTAGATTCTTCTGCATTAAAGGCATTAAACTTGATGCCAGGTCCTCAAGATGGTTTGTTTCTAAAAAAAAAAAAAAAAATCTATTTTTGTTTTTCCTCAAGCTTAAAAGTGAGCTAATCAACCTATATATATATATAACCTACATATGATCTATTTATAATATTTATAATCTATATAGGGCCAAATAAAACAACAAGTTTATTCGGACTTTTGAATAAATGCCTGACTTCTCAGGGATCTCGTTTACTTAGACAATGGTTAAAGCAACCTTTAATGAGCATTAAAGAGATTGGTATATTTTCTATTAATTAATTATTTTATTTATTTCATAATATTTGTTCTTCCGACAGTTACTTTGTATAATATATAATGTATAATAATAAAATAAAAATGCATATATTTTATTTTAGAACAAAGACTTTCGCTTGTTGAAATCTTTGTGAATGATACTGAAATTAGACAATCTATAAGGGTACGCACAGAATTTTAGATCATTGATAAAATTAGATGATTCTATTATATAAATATATATTTTATTAAAAGTTTTAAAAAACATTAATAATATTAATGAATTAAAGGAGGACCATTTAAAATCCACTCCGGATCTTCATAGAATAGCTAAAAGATTTCAAAGAGGAAGCGCAACATTACAGGTTTGTCAATATACCAATTTTATGAATTGAATATATTTTTAAGTATCTTTATTGAATTGTATTTATTTACTTAAGATATTATCCTAATAATATTTATCTCTTTTGGCTTACTTTAAAAGGATGTTATACGCGTATATCAAGTTTTAACGAAGCTTCCTGAATTGATAAATTTGTTAGAATCATTTAACACCATGAATGACGTGCTTAAAGAAACCATCGAAGAAGCATATCTCATAAAATTAAGGGTACACATCTTCAAACTCGAATATCTTTATGAAATGCATTTATTAATTTATTAATTTATTTATTTATGCGGGAATTTAGGAATATAACGTACAACTTGAAAAGTTAAAAGAGATGATTGAAACGACTGTAGATTTTGAAGCTGCGGATCATCATCATTATGTTGTGAAGGCAGATTTTGATGATACATTAAAAGGTATGTTTGATTGATTAATTTCTTTAACATATTATAACATTTTTGATTTTTTTTTTAATATTATTTTTTATTTAGACATTCAAGAAAGGATTAACGAAGTCGTAGAAGAAATGAATCAAGAACATCAAAAAGTATAAATATTTTAACATGATTTGTTTTATATAAGAATATTTTTCTAAAATTACATTACCGAATTTTATAGGTTGGAAGAAAGTTGGATATGGACACTGGGAAAAAACTTCATCTTGAAAAGCAAAATACATACGGATATTGCTTTCGAATGTCTAGAAATGTAAACATTCATTCGTTTTTTTTTCCTTTTATGACTAATATACATTATAATACATTATAATAATATTTATGATTTATCTTAAAATAAAAATATATAAAAAAAAAAAGGATGCATCTTGCCTTCGTGGACAATCTCAATATATTGAACTTGCAACTCAACGTAATGGAGTATATTTTACGACGATAAAATTGAGAGAACTGAGTAGTTCATTTTCAAATTTAAAAGAAACATATGAAAAAGCTCAAAGTTCTCTGGTAAAGGAAATTATTGCTATTGCAGGTAATTAGATTTTTTTTATTGTTTCTTCCTATATATTTTTTTTGACTTTATTTTAACATCAATTTTTATTATTAATTTATTATTATTTTACTATTATTAGCGTCGTATTGCCCAACTTTGGAAACATTGAATGGTTTATTGGCACATCTTGATGTGATAATTAGGTGAGATTTGTATATATTTTTGAACAGCTGATGTTCTAAAATGTTTAAAGTGTTCCAAGTATTTACAAGAAGGATTATTTAATTTTGAAGTTATGCGCACGTAGCTGCTCACGCACCCAAATCATATGTTCGTCCAAAAATTAATGAAAAAGGTATTTGTTATAATTAAACATTTTTAGCTATTATTATCATAATAATTTATGTAATAATTTATGTAATAAATTATATAAATAATTTAAGATTTATTTATGTTTAATATTTCTTTAATTAGGAGAAGGTCGTTTTTTGTTAAAAAATTCGCGTCATCCCTGCCTAGAGGTTCAAGATGATGTTTCATTCATTTCAAATAATGTTGAACTTGTTAAAGGTAAAATTTGTATTAATTTTATTGCTTATTTACAAAAAAAAATTTGCTATAAAATAATAATAAAAAAAAATTTCAAATAGACCAGAGTGAATTACTTATAATTACTGGTCCTAATATGGGAGGAAAGTCAACTTACATACGACAAGTAGGATCAAAAAAAATAATGATAATTCTAAATTGTTTTTAAAATTTTATTTATAATTAAATTTATTAAATTTATTTAAATTTGATAATTTCAAATAATAACAGATCGGTGTTATTGCGTTGATGGCACAAGTTGGATGTTTTGTTCCATGTTCAGAAGCTAATATTTGTATATTTGATTGTATACTCGCTAGAGTTGGTGCGGGTGACAGTCAACTTAAGGGTGTTTCCACATTTATGGCAGAAATGCTTGAAACTGCTACTATCTTAAAGGTATATATATATATATATTTTTTTTATCGGATTAATATAATGATTAATTTAATTTATTTAATTAATTCATTTATTCATTTATTAATTCATTATCTAGACTGCAACGACGAATTCTTTGATCATTATAGATGAACTTGGTCGGGGAACAAGTACTTATGATGGATTTGGTTTGGCTTGGGCAATATCAGAGTAAGTCTTTTAATATTAAATTTTCATAAAAAAAAAAAATGAAATTATTGATTTATTTTTTAAATTATAGATATATAGCTACAAATATAAGGTGTTTTTGTTTGGTTGCCACCCATTTTCATGAGTTAACTGTTCTGAGCGATAATATTTCTTACGTGCGTAATTTACACGTAACGGCGTGCGTTGACCAAAATCTTTCTGGAGTACGTGACATTACTTTGTTATACAAAGTGAACGAAGGTATGTATTAACTCGAATATAACTATATACATATTATATACTAACTATACCGAATAATTGATCTTTAGGTGTTTGTGATGAAAGTTTCGGTATTAATGTTGCGGAATTGGCAAATTTCCCTGAAACTGTTGTGAAAGTAAGTTAAGAAATTATTTAACGTGCAACTTAATAATTTATCATAAATTTAATTGTTGAATTCTTGAAATATTATATAAAAAAAAATATAGCTCGCAAGAAGAAAAGCTAATGAATTAGAAAATTTTTCAAATAGTAAGTTCTAAATATATACTTAATATAGCCATTATTTTTATTCATTTATTATATTAACTTTATTATATTAAATTTTATTATTATATGGTTTAAAAGCTGATCAAGAAGCGAAAAAACAATGTTCGAGACAAGAAATTAAGGTGAATAAAAAATTATAATCTTTTTAAAATATTTTATAATTTATTTTACCATTCATTTATAATTAAATAATTCATCTTATTTTGCTGTTATATATATTTAGGAAGGTGACATGATAATTGAAGACTTCCTTAAAGAAATTGCCCAAACGCCAAATACTGAATTAATGGATTATAATTCAATGTTAAATCATGTTCAGAAAATTAAGGATAAATATGAACCGAAATTCCAAAATAATCCGTGGTGTCGGGATGTTATCGAAGGATTTTAAAATTGATATTCTAATTTTTAATTTTTCTGGAGTTACACCAAATATTACCAAATAATACCAAGATTTATTCTTATGTAATGTAATATAAAGGGGAAAATAAATTGCCATTCATTAAATAAATCTTAATAATACCATAAGCGCTCAGAATTAAAAATGTTCATATCTCATTTTTCCCCAGATTTTCCTTCTTTTCAAATATCGATTAACTAAATATAGAACCAAATCCGTGGGGCATTGTCACGCACTATTTAGCATATATTATGCTATAGGGTAAGCAAGATACAGGAGATACAGCATAATCAAAAAAAAATTTTTGTAGATTTTATTTCAATTATTTTTTTTTTCTATGTGGAAATGTACAAAAAAAAATAGGTGGAATATAGGTAATGATTACAAATATAGAAATGTATTAGTATATACAAGCGAACAAAAAAAAAAAGAAAAAAAGTCATGTGAATTATAAAGGATTCGTTGCAATTTTTTAAAGTCTAATAAAAAAATTATTGTATATTTTAATTACATTGCATTTTGAGATTGCAAAAAACTTATCATCTCTTGCCATCATCCAGTATCAATAAATCAATAAATCGTCGTCATTTTGACCCTTCTACATTATTTAATAATTTTCTTTTTTTTCAATTTAAATAACAAAATTCGGTGTTTTTATAACTAAAAAAAAAAAATCCAAAACGTTTCGCCTTTGAATAAATTTTAGTATATTTAGTGTATTTGGTATTTTTTTTAAAAAAAAAAAAAATCCAATCGTCTATAATTCCTGTACAATATATTTCTACTATTAGAAAAAAAAAATAATTTTCAATTTCTAGGTGACTCATAACTGTTTTCATTCTCAGAAGGAACAATTCTCTTATAATTTGAATTCTGGTTGACTAGGTTAACATAATATTGTTGCAATGTTTCTCCGGCGCAGATCAACTGCCAATCAATTAATTTTATAAATTCCAATTCCAGGGCATTAAGTTCTTGAGTGGGTATTCCGCCCACCCTCGCGTAATGAGAATTCGTACAATAAGAATCGCATAACGCTTTAGATGATACCGTAACTGCTGCAATGAGAAATCGATGCACGGTCAACGATGTTATTGTAAATGTTCTATTTCGTTCACATACACGATCTATATATATCAAAAGTATCAAAAGGCATGGCTTCTCTATAGAGGTATGCCTTACTATACGACGAAGATAATCGACTACTGAAATAGATGGTTGTGCTCTAGAATGAAAACGTGATAAGTTGGAAGGCATCAAAGGGATTTGATCATTATGAATAATTAAACGGCCTAACATGTCAGCTGAAATAATAATAATAATAGTAATAAAAGATAATATGAATGAAAATAAAATGAATACCCAAATTTAATTAAATGTTAAAAAAAATGAAAAAAAAAAATCTAAAAGTTAACTAACCGATCATATGCATCAAATGATTAGTGTCAACCATGTAGAAATATTCAGGAACTTCAATCATAGGTTGCGGTTCGTGCGATTCGTGCGATTCGTGATTCATGTTGATGCATCACACCGAAGTATATTTGACCAACAGTGAACACTCGAAACTATGTATAAAGGGTCGTTAAATATATTAAATTCTTTAACTTCTTGATTTGTTTTTTTTTTCTTTTATATTTCAGTCACGAATTTACTTTGGACAGAAGGTTCCCAAGACTAGGAAATAAAGACCTATGTGACTGAAAAGGGAATACAACCGCACACATATGGGTTAAGAAAATTTCCAAGATGGTTTAGAGAATAAAACCTTCAAAAAAATGATGCAACGTTGAAATTGATTTTTGACCAGCCGTTGATTTTGTTCCTCTTAAATTTATTTTTAATTGGCGGGAATTATTTGTATACAGTGATGCATGTTAATCCATTTATGAATAACTTATTTAGGTTTAAAATAATAAAAAAATATATTTTTAATTTAAAATTTAAAATATCAAAATATATTATATATATAATACATTACCTTAGATGGCATTCACAGCAACCCAGATTCCAACGAAAACAGAAGTTAATCTGCAAAGACTTTTACTAGTATGTGAAGAACGCGTCTCAAAAGAAAATGGTTTAATTCGTGGACCTGAAAAAACGAAATATGTGACGGCATGTTATTTATTTTTTTATTTCCAATATCCCGAGTTTTGTTTTTCATAATTTAATAAATTATTTTATTTTTTATATATATATATAAAATAGAACATAAAATATCTTCGCAAGCTATTAGATCAAATCGAAAAGGAAGCCAATGAGTAAATAAAAAATAAATATGATTTCATTTCCTTATTTGATTTTTTATTGAATCTGAAATTATTCCCTTTGATAATTCTTTAATAAGCTAGACAAGTTGATAAAACAGTTATTAGTGAATACGCGTTGAAAATTCAACGGTTATCTGATATTGTCGATGAATTTAAATTGACATCTCCTGTAAATCGAACATTTTCACAAGCGCGTTTTATAAAACATTCACATCAAACGCAAGAAGAAAAAAATAGAGAGGTTCAGGTGGAATTAAAGATGGTTCGACAGGCTGAAAAAGAATTAAAACAAGAATTATTGCAAGTAATTTGAAATTGATTTTTATTTTATTTTATTTTTTTTTCAAATTTATCAATCTTCTTCATTTATCAATCATTTAATATTTAACTGAAAATAAATCCTTGTTAATCCAGCCTCCATATGAAAAGAAAGTGTGGGAAGAGAAGAATATGAAAACATACACAGAAAGAAGGTCCGGTAAGTTAATGAATACATAGTTGGCTTATATTTTTACGTATTAACCTTTTTCTTTGTGTTTTTTACGACAGAATTATTTTCATCTGAGACCCCAGATTCAGAATTGAGACAACGAAAGTTAGTTTTAAATTTAATTGATTTGATTTAGTATAATTTAATTTAGTTTAATTTAATTTAATTTAATTTAATTTAAATTCATAAAAATTTATAATAATTTATAATAATTTATAATAATTTATAATACTTCTATATTTACAAAAAATAAAAATAAATAAAGACAAATCTTTGATCTTGAAAATACTTCCAACATCGAAACTATTCTCCAACATCATCGACAAACGCAAGATAATCTAACAAATGATTTGGTAAAAATGGCGGAAAGATTGAAGATGAATTCAGTAACATTTGGAGATATCTTAATGAAAGATGAAAAGGTATAATAATAGTAATTTGTTTTTTTTTTTTTTTTTGGAATAAATTTATTATTAAAAATACTAATACGATAAATAATTTTACAGATCATTGATGAAACACAAAATGTTCTGGGTGCTAATTTAGATAGATTAAAAAAAGAGGGTTCTAGATTAAAGAGATACGCTACAAGATCCAATAAGACTACATGGTTAGTTTGGTCTGCAGTTGTATTTGTGTGTTTTGCATTCATTTTAACTTTCATGTTAATTCGGGTGACATAATATTTAGCTTTGAATTGAGTAAAATAGGAATGAATATTAAATAATAAATTTTTATTTAATCTATTTAATTGAAATTATCACTGATCTATTAAAGTTGTATAGAAATATAATATTGTGGTTGAGATTTTTTTTTTGTTTATTTGCTACCTTGTTTCGATATTACGGTTGCTAATGCATAAACTAATATATAACTATTTATCAGCAGAACTGGAAATGTTGAAATTCCATTTTTTTTGCTTTAGAATAATCTCATTCTTGATTAAAAAAAATTTTGATTTACAGAGACAATTGAATTTTTTTTTTTTTTTAATATAGAGTATTAAGAAATCATTTTTCAAATTTCAAGATTAATTTTCTATGATTTAAATACATTATCTATAAAATAATTGTTCATAAATTTCAAATTTATCAACTATTTTCTATACAATATTCGATATCAACTATTTCCTTTGGAGCTATTGAGCTTAACACAATAGGATCTGTTCTACCAACTAGTACATTGTCTTCAATACGAATACCAATTCCATGATATTTTTTTGGATACGCATCATTCGGTGGTACATAAATTCCTGGTTCTGTAAAATATTATAATGTTATATAAAAATATTTACTAAGAATAGTTTGAATAATTCTTTATTCGTTACCTATTGTTATCACCATTCCGTGTAACAATCTCCGTGAACGATCAAGGTCATGAGTATCGTGTACGTCAAGGCCAAGATAATGTCCCACATGGTGAGGATATAAAATATGGTCGACATCCTAAATTTATCAATAAACAAAATGTAAACAAAATATATAAAAAATATAAAAAATTATACAATTGATTTTTTTTTTTTTTTTACCCCTTCAACGATATTAAATCCCAATTTCTGTAATTCTTCTTTCATGATTTGTACGGAAACTTCATGTATCCCATTTAATGAAATATCTCTCGCTTCGGTGCATAACTAAATAAGTAAAACAAAATAAAAAAGGTTTTGATTAATTAATTATATATTTAATTATTGATTAATTAATTCTTTAATTAATTTTTAACTAGATAAAATATAAATACATTTATACAATGCCTATTGATATTCAACACAACTTCATATAGTTCTCTCTGTGCTGCCGTGAATTTTCCGTTTACTGGCCACGTCCGTGTAACATCACTGGCATAACCGTGATATTCACCACCCGCATCCATTAATACCAAGTCATAGTCGCTAAAGATGAATCAAAATATATAATGTTCATAATGTTCATAATGTAATAAATGATTAAATAAATAATAATAATATTTAAATAAAATATATATATATATTTAAATACCGAAGTTTCATATCATTTCTCACATAATGCAATGTTAATGCGTTAATTCCTCCTGCAACTACGGGAACATACGCAAGAAATGGTGCTCCTCGCATACGACATTCAAAATCCATTTTGGCATATAGATCATGTTCTAAAATTCCAGGTTTTGTAAATTTCATTGTCTATAAAAAAAGAATTATATCAATAATTCGAAATAATAATAAATAATTCTTAATTCTTAAATTCATATAGGAATATACGTTACCTGAATGAATGCATTTCCAGTAATTTCACCAGCTTTTTTCATTAAAGCTATTTCAGAATCACTCTTAATTATTCGTAAATCTTGAATTAATTTACTTAATGGCTTTACTTTATAATAAATATTATTTTAAAAAATTTGAAATAATCTGTCAAAATGAAAATATTTAAATCAATGATGATAATTTTATCAAATAGAATAAATAAAATATTTACCATGAGTTCGACTGATATTTTTTTGAACATTATCAGTTGATAAAATATTAGTACGTGGAGGTAAATCAATATATACTTCTTTATAATTCTTAATTATTTCCTTAATCTTTGAATTAAATCTCGCAGATTCCATGGCCTAAATAAAAGTTAAAATTTTTTTATAAAATTTTTAATAAGAAAAAAATGACGTGAATAAACTTTATTTTTTTAAATATTCGAATTTTCTTGCCTCATCTGCACCAAAAATATCAACAGCCCCAAGAACACCTGTTCGAGGACCATCCCACATTTCCACGCTACGATTTTTGGGAGGAACAAACATTGTCATTTTGTAACCTCTACGCGTGTCATTCTTTTCTTACGTTTTTTTTTTTTTTAGATAAAAAAAAATATTATTATTATTCTAAGTCGATAAAAAATGATAATTATTCAAATATATTTAAAAACAACCCTGTCATCAAGCAATGTACCTAAAACTATTGCTGCATCGGGTTCATTAAAACCTAAATTTAACGCGAAAAAAAAAAATTTTTTTTTTTTTGAATTATTGAATTATTGATTTATTGATTATTAAATTTATTATAACCTAAATGCCTTACCACATAAATAAAAAAAGTCCGTGTTTTGATGGAATGGATAACTATTAAAAAAAAAAAAAGATCAACATCATTTTCTTGACATTCTTAATATATGTAAAACGAACCAAAAAAAAAAGTTATACGAACAATACTTTATTTGACATATATCGTGTACGATAACCTAATGATATCGCAACACTATTCTCGGGTAATTTATTCATTAGTGTTGTACGTCGAAGTTCATATTCAATAGCAGATATCCCTGGCGTTACTTTTGAATTTGAGAGATATTAAAGTGATTTATATAAGAAATATCTAACTAAGACTAAAATTATAAATATATGAACTAACTTTCACCAGGTTTCATCAGATGTGGATGTGTTTTGGGAGTTGGTTGCCCGAACAGGCGAGACTCCGCTGGTGTAAGCGTGGCAGGAGTACTGAAAGAACGTTTGCATATTTTGAAACCTTTTTTTTTAAAAAGGAAACGCTATTCAAATAAATTAAGTGTTATATGATAGAATAAATAACAAAAAAGAGTGAAACGCTAACAAGTTCTTATATGAAAACGCAAAAATGAAGGGACGATTTGACGATTCATATCTTTATTCGAACACTTCAAACAAATTTTTTTTTTTTGATAATAATTTTTTAGATTTGAACTACGGATTGAATTGTAATTGGCTATTACGTAAAATTACGAAATCACTTAATCACGTCTAGAATCTCTCTCAAAATATCTGATCAAATATTTGATATAAAGTAAAACCTACTCTAAATGGAAAAGATTTCTCAATAAACAGAAATTCAATAACATATGTGCACTAAGAAATTTTTATGTCATATTTCAAAGGATCAATTTTACTTTCGTCTATTTAAACCATTACTTATTTATTCAGAAAATAAGTGTTCTTTTTTAGTTAGTACAGTAGTAACAAGTAGATGGTTGTATCTGTAAACGGTACAATATTACCATATCGGTATGTGAATTATGTAATATTTCAATTTTTCTTTAACATCACAAAATCACAGAAAGATTTCTTCTCTCCAAAAAACAACATTATCTGGTATAGAAACTTGATTTTTTCGTATGCCAAGCCACCTCATCATCGTACATATCTGATATCAAGACTTATTATTTTTTATTTTTTTTTTATGATAAAATTATTACTTAACAAAATTAAAGGACTCCATAAAGTTTCCTTCTCTAATTAATAACAAGTTTTAATTTAAACTGATAAGATTTAAAGTTGGGAGTTATTCGGATAAAGGATTTACGCATCAACGAAAATCCTTTTTTTTTTTTTAAACGTAAATATTTGTTAAACTAAGAATAGTAAATCGTCCAAATTGGAAATAAAAAATCAGAAAACCAAGAACATTGTTCAAAATATTTATAACTTGAATGCAACCTACCGATAACATGTATATAACCCAATTATAGATGTTGTTTAACTATCAGTATAAAATATGTACAAGATGTAACATTTAGGTTGAATACATTGAATACATAAAATCTAACCTTTTCGTTTAAATCGCCGATAATCTTTGTAAGTGACAATCCGTGCTTATTACATGTATAAAAGTAATAGCAGATAAAAGATCATGTGCAATCTTTTTCATGGGAAAATTTAACGGGCATGTGTTTGATTAGGTTTCTTTGTCATGTCAAAAAGAAAGAATTTAGTGAGTTTCACGACATTTATAGAGAAACCAAAGTTCAACATTATATGTGAAAATCCTACGTCGATCCCAGAAGCTCCAACAAACCACGTGTCCATTGTGAATATAGAATATAGTTATCTTACTATTTTCAAAAATGAATTGAACAGAATTATTTTGTGGAGAAAAAAAAATATATATGTGAATTAAATGCGGGCGATATTTGCATTAATGTTTTGTGAGTCGGAAAAAGGTTTGCGAAAATATTTCATTTTTTTTTTATAGCTTACATACTTCATCTATCTTTATTAATTGTAATGATTAAAAGCCAAATAACTTCTATTTTCAATGATACAACGTGTGATTTGTGAAGACCCTGCATTGAATTGCATATGATCAGGTTCAATTTTTAGTTTCTATTAATATCTATTATCCTCCAAATAGATAATGAATTTCTAGTTTTTCTTTTAATTCTTTTAATCGATTGGGAAATCTGAATTTATTTATAACATTAAAATTTCATTAAGATAAATAAATAAAAATAAGTATCTCAAATTTCACATGCAAAGATAATTTTAAAAGAGTTACTTACATATTAATATTGACTTTTAAAGAATGATAATTTTTAATAAGTAAATATTAATATTCTTTTTGTTACAGTGTAAATATAAAATTTGATAACGGAATATTTAAAACACAATTATTTTAATCGATAAAATTAGTATGATTATTTTAAGTGAACAAAGCGAACATAATAACGGTTTCGTGTTTATTGTTTATTTATTCTAATTTATCTTTTTCATATTAATTCTAAAAAATAGTTAGAATGGCGTAACTTTGTAAAAAATATCATCATTACAATTTTTCTTCTTCAACTTAAAGATGTTTAATGATCTTGTATAAAAAAATATCACTTTTATCCCTCTCAATGAAAGGACAAAGAATGATGAGTTAAAGATATTGTGATAATCTTAATTTTTTTAAACGTTTCATTACATATTACAGTTAAATTATGAAATAATTATGATACGTTTATATATTATAATATGATATAATTGAAATGATATAATTGAAATGATATAATTAATATGATCTATCTATATCATATCAATATGATTATATATTATATATCAACATGATTATGTAATTAATATGATATAATAATAATTTTGATTAAGTTAAAGATTAAATTCTTACCTTTAAATGCAATAAAGTTCTAATTGTTATAACTCAAAATTTTTTGTAAATAATTATTTGGTTTGAGGAGTTAATGCAAGGTGAATATCAACAGGAAGATTTTTGAGGCGAAGTATTGTACAATAAATTCATTTTTTAACGAAAGTTTAAAATAGTTAATTTAATCATTCATCAATTCTTTGGGCACCAGTAAGCAATCCGATTGCCTAAATAATAATAATTCTATTAATACCCTTTATTATAAGTAAATTTTTTATACCCCCTTGAAAATCTATCTTCAAATTTTATCTTTGATGAACTATCTTAAAACACCGTCATATCGGCTGATTATAATTCAATTCACATGATTATTGTAATATCAATGTTAAGAGAAAAGCAATACGGAAAAAGTAATTTTGAATGAGATTGTATAAATTAAATTGAATTTATGGAAATTCAATAAACTTCATTATTATTTTGTTTCCGATTTTATGAAGAATGTATGAAAACATTTCGTTTATTAAATCACCAGATAACACAATATACAAAATAATGACAAAAGGAAAATTTAATTTATTTCAAAGTAAATATTTATTTTATTTAAAAATTATTTATTATTTTAATTATTTAGTATTTTGATTTATTTTGTGATTTGCTTTGCAACGGAAATTGAGGGGGTTACATGTAATAGCATTTATAGTATTGAATAGTTTATTTTTAATCTTTTTATTTATACACTTTAAAGTATTTTAAAGTAGCATATATATACAATTTATGTTGTTTATGGTATTTATTATTAAAGTTATTAAAGTAATTTTCGGATTTTTTTTTCCAAATTTCTCTTGGGGGTTTTTTGAATGCTGAACAATTTTCATAAAATCCCTATTTCTAAGGTTTAATTGACGACTATTTATACCACAATCTTTCCCTTTCTCTTTGGCCGTTGTTTTCCAAAAATTCAATATTTCTTTCTGAAATATAATATCATTTTTATTATAATATTATTAATTATAATTATAATTATAATTATAATAATAATAATATTATTATTATTTTTATTATTAGTATAATTATATCGACTCGTAAATAGTTTCTTTTGCGGCTGTGGGTACTGAACTTTTTCAAATCTTATCTGTCTGTTATATTAACTTAATCTATTTTAATTATTATTATACATTCAATATTTAATATTTAATATTTAATATTTAATTAAATTCTATTTAAGGGAATATATTCTTTCTTTGTAAATATACAATAAAAATACATACAACCATTTATTGAAATTGATGTACAGTAAAGAAACTGCTTTTATGCAAATTTCTTATCACGGTAAGAATCATCAAATCATCATTAAATAATAATAACGTACTTCATTAATGAATGTTGTTTAGGGAAAAGACTACATAAACATGCATCAAAAAAATAAAATTTTAGACTAAAAATTTCTCCGTCTGGCACAACAAAAAAAATATATATATATATATATATCGTAAATTAATTGGAATTTGTACATTGTAGTAAAAAATAAATAAATCATTATTCGTTCAGTTCATCTGGAATTTACCTCTCTGTTTCCTTTACTTTTATTATTTTTGGTATTTTTGTTATTTATTATTTTGCATGTGTTTATTGTTTTTTTAGTTGAAAACCTTTTTCATATCATTAACATATAAATATTATCAATTCAAAACCAATTGAAGACTATAATATTTAACAAATTATATCTTTAGCTGATTATTATTATTTATTTTTTATTTATTATATTATTTATTAGGACTCAACAATCGAATTCATATAAAAACCCCAAAAACCTTGACAGTTAATCCTCCACAATTTATAATTCAAAAAAAATTCAAAAATTCTTTAAACTTTTTCGCGTGTCAAATTTATGTCAAGTTATCTTTATGAAATAATTCCACCTCATTAACACCTAAAAATATACATCAATAATTATTATTATACCAGATTTATTATCCAACTTTTTTTATCTGATATATTTCAAAGAAATAATATTCCTTTTTTTTTATTTGTCTTACCGAATCCTGGGAAGATAAAAAAAAAAAACTGTCTTAGTCCTCGTTGTTGGTTGAACCAAACACACATAAATATTCACGAATATTTACGATTATTCTCAAATACTCACGAATACTCACAATATTCACGAATATTCTTCAAATATTTATAAATATTTTTTTAAATATTCATAACTTGCGGGGATAAAAGACAATCCCCCTTCCCCCACAGCTTGCAATAAGAAACGAAACTTCCTTCCAAGGAAAATATTTTAATGTCTTCACAAAGTAGTGCCATAAGTTCAGTAAGTATTAATTATACCCAAAAATTATTTTATTATTTTTTATTATTTATATGAGTAATTGTTTGTTAAATGCGAACACCTTGCTCTTAAAAAATAGGTTCACGTTTTAAATATATTATTTAAAATATTACAATTCAATTAATAAATATCACTAATTATATGAATAACATATTATTTTTTATTTATTTATTTATCTCTACAGTTAGCTTTTGCATCAGGTGCAATCGCTACTGCAGCCAGTTTCGGATGCGTATTTGGATGCCCAATAAAACAAAAAAATCAATCCCGATCTTCTTCAACTTCATCAACTTCATCAACTTCATCCCCCCCGTTGGCGATTTCAACAAACCCAACAAATTTACCCACTTCCTTTTCATCATCACCGACTTCCTCTTCGTCATCTTCGTCTTCATTGTTTTCATTATCATCACCAAAAGGATCACTCCAAAAATTTAAATTGTTTCGTTCAAAGCATCAACGAAAAAAAATCGCATCCCAAACAAAAAACATCTTACCTCCAACTACTGTACATCCATTGATGATACATCCGGATCAATTGGTACTTGATGATGATGTGTCCTCAATATATTCAGACACCACAAGTATCTGCACCGTGGATCGTAAAACCAGTTCTGTACCAAACTTACCAGGAATATTGAATCATGCTTGGGATAGTTCGGCGTCATTCAATCCGACAAGTGTAGCAATGATACATGAAGAGGATGAAGAGGAAGAAGAGGAAGAAGATTGGGATAAAAATTATGAAGGTTACGCGGAACCTAAAAAATGCAGAAGCTCTTTACCTCTAACTACGAATCTATCTTCAAATAATTTAACGTCTTCTAATAAAAAGTTGAGACATAATCGTAGTCTTTCTTTACCTCCTCCTATAATTTCGGATTTACCACAGAGTATTTATAAACGACAACGTATGTTCTTCGGTCATGTGTCATTATTTATTATTCACGTGATTTATGCTCATCTAGATCTCTTTATTTACAGCGACAGCAAGTGAATGTTGGGACGATGAATTTGAATTAGATAATGATTTGATAGTTCCTACTTCAGTGGAAGAAGCACAGTTCTCATTAAGAACGGATATTTCGAATATACTTGATTTTATCGAACACGTCAATCGTAATTATTCTAATTTTTTTTAAAAAAAAGAAAGTAATTAATTATTGTTATTACATTATTATATTAATATTATATTTTACTATATATATATATATATATATAAATAGAATTAAAAGAATTACTTGATCAAAAACATAGTTTGTCCATGGATATTAAATCAAAGATGAACCGAAAATGGAAGTATGGATTCGCGAAATCAAAATCAAAAAAACTCGAGAAACTATTTCGAGCTGATTGGGAGGAAGCTGCTGTAATAATTGATCTCTCGGATGTAGCGCAGGACAGACAACCCAATTTTGGAGACACCAGCAATGTTGAAGTTGACATTGAACGTATACCCTCTGAACGACATATGCAAGTGTTGGAAAAGATCATAGTTGAAGAATTGGGACATGATGATTCGATATTCACGGAGAACCGTTATAATCATTGTAATCACGGACTTAATCATAGTCATAACGCAAAGAAACAAAAATTAATGAATGGAAAACTTACAAACAATGTTGTCTGTTGTAATGTTGGTGGTATGAATATGAAAAAGAAAAGAAAAGAGAATTTTAGAATAAATGTTGAAGTGATGCCAAAGTTAATCGAACATTTAAAAATATTGCAAAAAAGATTATTGAAACATATAAATGAATTAAAAAAGTTAATCGATTAATTATTATTTTTTTATTATTGAGTATTTTCTAAACTTACTTTCTTATAATTAAAAAATTAAAATGTACAAAATTTCTTAATTTAGATAATGGTTAATTTGGGGACATTTTGTAATTTACCATTATTTATCATTGAACAATTTTAAAAATTCTTTTTTTTTTTTATATCTTTGTAAAATGATATAAAATAATTTTATGGATGGGTGAGAAAATTTTAAGGTTAGATGATTAGATAATTTTAGATTTTTCTAAATTATTACTTCCTTTATATGTATATTTCGATATTTTTTGTTATAACCTTTTAGTTTGGTTTCGTGGGCAATACTTGATTACTGAATTTCATTCTTTTTTAATATTTTATATGCTTTTTTATTTAAACAAGACGCGTTACCATAATTTCAACGTGTTAATTAAATTTTTTTTTTTTTTTTTAACAAAAAATCCTTAAACTAATGAATAGTTTATGTTACTACTTTAATATATTTTAATATATTCAAACGTCCACAAATCTTCAAATATTAAATTTTCTCGCATAATTCTCTTCCCATCATCATATCTTTTTTTTTTTTTTTGTAACATTTATTATTTTCTCTGTATTATTTCTTTATTTGCTTCCCAAATTTTCCATATTATATATTTCTTGTAATTAAAAATGCTATCCTTTGTTTATTTATTCATAATGATCTTTGATCTTTTAAATAAAAGATGCTTGTAATTTTTATTAATTTTATTAAATTCTGCCATGTCGACTTAACTTATTGAACGGCCTAAGCCGGCCAATTTATAATTTATAGCGCGTCAATTTTTTAAAACTGATTATCAGTGCATAAAATCTGTCAATCAAATGTCAATATTACTGTCAAGCCGAATTCTTACTACCTTTAAGACTTTACATTTAAATTATGATAAACCACCAAATGTATTTCGAAATGTAATAAAACCGCTATTCATAACTCGAAATACAAAAAAAAGAAAGATTGTAATTAAATTGCTTCGAGATCATGAAACACTTGGAAAAAAAGGTTTCCTGAATTCGTATTTCTAGTTACTCTTGAACTGAAATAAAAGTGATAATAATTTTTTTTTTCTTATAATACAGATGATATTGTCTTTGTTAAGCCAGGTATATGTTCCAAAAACAAATATATTTGGGATTCATAAAAGTTGGCATATATATTTCATATATTTATTATAATAGGATATATGAGACATAGACTGTATCCACAACGTATTGCCAACTATTATATTCGAAGAGGCAGTGACATAGAAACAGAAGGTCAAAAACAAATACATCTACTAGCTAAAGGTGGCCAATTGACTTTAGCCATCCATGGAACAGGTTATTCGCCTGTATGATATAGTTTTACACTATTTTTTTTTTACGTATGAATTAATAATAATAGACAAATAATAGGGTTTTTTTTTTTTTATTTTTTGAAATTAGGTAGTTAAAGGTGTTCCCCGTAGCATAGCCAATGATGATCAATATGTCACACTATACTTCGAAGAAATACAAAAAAAAATAGCCAAATTGCGCCATTTAGAGAAATTAGAATTTAATCGAATGTCCGCTGAAAAAGAGGATACTAAAATTATTAGAGATTCAGTAGGAACTTTAGATGTAGCTTATCAAATTAGGGAAAAATGTGATCTTTCATTTAATCAAGATGACATTGAATTCCAATACGATAATGATAAAATTACAAGAGCTGGAGATTATATTTGTAATTTTTGTTTTCGAGATATTGATATGAAAATTCCAGTAAAGATATCAATAAAATCAATTGCACGAAAGAGATTACCATAATCTTATTTTATTTAAAAATAAAAATTTGTTCTGAATTGATTTTTGATAAATTGAATTCATTATTTGAAGTTATAAGTAATTTAAATTTATTCAATTTTAGTTGATTTTTACAGAATATATAATAGAAAAATTATATTAAAATAGCATGAGACTGTAACTAATTATTATTTATTGTAGGAACTAATGATTCATTTTTGAATTAAATCGGTTCATCATCAGAATTTTTTAGTTGAATCAGGTGAAACTTCAGTATCTTTAGTATCTTTCATCCCAAAATTCTTTGTCCTCAAATATTTCCTCCACTTCTTCATCTGAAGAAAATAGTTCATTCATTTCTTCTTTTCCATTTAAGTTCTGATTATGTTCTTTATCAGATAGATAATTAAAGCAAATATTCTTTATAAGTTCAAAATTTTCTTTAAATTTTTGTTGAAATTTTAGAAACCTGGTTACTGTCTTGAATAAATAATAGGAACTAGGATTGTTTATTGGTAGTTCAATTTTATCAAAAAAGATGCTATCAACGTAGTGGATGTACATATAATTCTAATTCATAGATATTCTTTAAATGCTGAGGGTGTAATATTAATATCTTGTATAAAGTAGAACTGGTGATTTTGATAAAATATGCATGGAAGCTAAAAATATAAATGTTAAAGATGTGTTTATCCGCATTTGTTGTTCATTTGTAAGGGCATTGGTAAGTTTATTATAGCAGGGTCAAAAAGGAAAAGCGAGTTCTTGATCGGTGAAAATAAATTATTTAATTATTGTACTGATATGAGTTTTCTTATTTTCAAGTAATAATTCATGACTCGACCTTGTTATATCCAAAGATCAAGTAAGTTATATGATATAAACAAATACATTAAACTAACAGTATCACAAATCTAATACCTTAAACATAAAGACTTTCTCGATAATATATGTAGTTGATCTTTGGAATTTAGGATACGTGCATTATGCATAATATAAATAGTAAAAGTTCATTCTAAAGTAAATTAAAATTGAAGTATAAAATTTTATAAATTTTATATCAAACACCAAATTCACAAATGATTCTAGACGTGTGAGCCGATCCTCAGCGGCACCGCATATCTTTGGTGATAAAACAGCGAGATCAAATAATTTCATATAAGATAAATTGACAATAAATTATTAACAGCGTGAAGATTCCTTACCTTTTAATACTTTACCAAGATCACCATTTAACTTAGTAATATCAATAATAAGAACATTGCCAACCACTTCTAGAAAACCTATTTCAAGTAACTACCTCTATCAAAAAGTAGCTACTTTGATTTCAGGTTGTAACACTTGTTATTAAAAAATTTCAAGGTAGTAATTGGGTAGCTACCTCATAGGTAGTTACTTGGAGATTTCCACCAGCATCATTAATTTAAATACTACATAGGCAAACTTGATAAGTCGTCCACTGATAGCTGAGCTCTTGTGGCTGAGTTATCGAGGTGACCGTGTTATCAAAATTCTTGATAAGTCAGCTGGCCAAGTTATCAAGGTTTCTACATCAGGAATTATATAAAGGCATTCTAATAACTCCACAAATATCGATGCTATCGGAATGAAACACATATCATTTTGTAACCAAGAACAAGGCCTTTCTTTCTATCTTTAAAATATCTTAGTAGAAAATCGTTCTGCTCTTTATAAATCGCGAGCGAAGCTGAAAAAATGTGAAAATCTCTGGAAATTTTTACTTTTTTTCGACTTCACTCGCGATTTATAAAGAGAAAAACGATTTTCTACTAAGATATTTCTAAGATAAAACCAAAGGCCTTGTTCTTGGCTACAAAATGATATGTGTTTAATTCCGATAGCATCGATATTCGCGGAGTTATTACGTTGTAGAACGGATTGTTCTAGAATGTAACATTTGTTCTAGAATACCTTTATATAATTCCTGATGTAATTAATAAGTCAATTGATCAATTTATTAAAAGTTATATAAATTGATATAATATTATTAAAATTAAATTTTATTTAATTTTATTGTAATTAAACCATAAGAATATTATTTTTATTAAATGATTACATTAAAAAAAATTAAAAAAATTCATCTAAATTTGATTGTTTTGATAATGAAATTTGATTTAGATGAATTTGATGCTGTAAATCTTTTAAATCTACTATAAATGAATGTTTAATATTTAAATTTTGTTGTTATTGTAAATAATTATATATATTTTCAATACTTTCTAATGCTGTTTTATGTGAAACTGGTGAAATTGCATTATTGATTTCTTTTTCAACTTCGGGTACTTCAAGAATACTTGAAATAATTTCATTATCATTAGGAATTCCTGTTGTTTCTAAACTAGAATCAATATTAATATAATCTTTAGCTATAATATTGTTTGTATATTTATCTATTTGATTAATTAACAATTGTAATGATCTTTCTATATTTTCATTTGTATTATTATCTATTTCATTTTCAAATTCATCTAAATTTTCTTCTGGTAAAATACCTGTTCTTGCCCAACTTCAATAAATAATATCATCAGTTACATTATCCCACACTTCTGCAGTCCAAGTTATTGCATTAAATATATTTAAAAGAGGAATTTCAGTACCAAAATCATTATATGCATCAAATGTATCAATTCTATCTTTACAAAGTAATTTTTGATAATGAGCCTAATAAATAAAAATAAATAATTAATTTATTTGAAAATTTAATATAAATACAAAATTTTAATAATAAATATATATTTTGAATGAATGAATAATGCCTTGATCAATTAGTTGAATATGTGAAGTTGTATTTGGTAAAAGAAAATATAAAGTAATATTACTTAATATTTCATTTTCTTCTAATTTATAAGATGATGCATTATCAATTAAAAGCAAATTTTTCTTTTTTGAAATTGCATTTCTTGATTGAATTGTTTTATCCATTGTTGAAATATTGATTTTACATTCAAGTAAAATTATTCCAATAATACTTAACAGGAAGTGATGCTTTATTTATATTTCTAAGACAATGTAACATTTTATATTTGTGAATAAACACAGGTGGCAATTTGTGAGTACCTGTTGCATTACATGTAAGCATTATTTTTACTCTATCTTTTGATTTTTATAGTTCCAGTTATAAGTCCAGTAGTAAATAATTTATTAGGTTCTAATTTCCAATAGAGTCCTGTTTTATCAGCATTAAATACATCATCCAATTCATATTGTGAAATCAAAACTTGTAATTCAGATCTAAATGCTAACAAATCTTCAATAGGGACACTTGCTACTTCTCCTGCTTTATAATATTCTTTAATATTATTTCTTTTTTTAAAATTTGATAGCCATCCCTAATTAAAATATAAATATTATTAATATAATAAAATTAATAATATTTAAAAAAAAATAAATATAATATTTATCAAAGATGTAGTAAAATTTGTAATTTTTAACTTTTTTTACAAAATTTTTTGTCTTTTATGTTATAATAATTCCTGATATTGTATGATTACTATTTGCAAAATGAATTCAAATTACTAGTGCTTCTTCAATTTTTGGCCATTCACTTTTTTGTTCTCTTTTTTTTTGGTATTTGATGAATTTTCAATAATTGAAAGCTACTTTTCTTTTGATCTTAAAATTTCTCCAACTGTTGATTTGCTAATTCCATACAATTCTGCTATTTCTTTGTTAAAAACATTTGGATTTGCTTGTTTATATTCACATAGTTCTTTTTTTTGAATAATTGATAAAGTTTTTAATTTCCTACCTTTTTTTGTATTATTATTATTGTTGTTGTTACTATTAGTTTTGTTATTATTGTTGTTACAGTTATCTTTGTTATTATTATTATAATTGTTATTGCTATTGTTACTTTCATCATCATCATCATGATTATCATTATCATCATTATTATTATCATCACAATTATCATTATTATTGTCATCAATATTATTATTCTCCAAATCTTCTGAATTTGCAAAATTCTACAAATTCATATTTTCATTATTATTATTATTATTATTATTATTATCATCATAATTATTATTATCACCATGATCATGATTATCATTATTATCATCATTACTTTTTTTATTATTATTCTCGTTATCATCATTACCTTTCTCATTATTATTCTTGAATCTTCTGAATCTGTAAAATTTCACAAATTTATATTTTCATCTTCTATGTTATTTAGAAATTCAAAGCCCTTTCCATTTTTCATATCACCAGATTCTTCAAAATCATTTGTATCTCTATATTTTTCATATTATTAATTTTTTCTATATCTTCTAAAATCCATTCATTTTCCATGTCATTTATATTTTTATTATTTCTCTTATTCTTCTTTTGAATATTAATAACCTTAATAATATTTGTTTTTTATTTGTTATTATTATTTTATATATTTTTAAAATTTAATTATAATATTCTTTTATTTGAATCTTTATTCATTATAAAATTTCTTTAAATAAATTTAAATAAATATTAGTAATAGTAATATTTATAAATAATAATAACATATATTTTTATAAATTTTATTTTATTTAAAATTTTTAAAAAATTTAAAAATTTCAAAAGTTCATTAAAAAATTTTTTGATAATTTTGATAATCTAATTTTATTATTATCACGTGAACACGTAATCAAAATTAACTTATCACAATATATTTAATATAAAAATAGCTGAAGTATGAAACCAACTTAAGCTTTATCACAATTTTTATATAATAGATCGACTTATTAAAAATTTTTAATTATAAAAAAAAATAGTTATAAAAATTTAGCTGAATTAGATTAAAACCAACTTATCAAGAGATCAATTTATCAAGTTTACCTTTGTATTTATAATTTTTATATTATTAAGTATTATTAAATATTAATTAATTAATTAAATATTAATGTTTATATTTTTGTAATTTTATTGTATTTTGTATAATTATATTGTGATTAATATATGTATCATCAAAAATATTATTATATCTTGCATAACTATATAATAATTATTATTATATAATATATATATTTTTTTATTATTTAATTAAGTTTCTTCTTAATACTGTATATAGTACTTTTAATAAATTAATTTTCAAATCAAACAAATTAAAATTTTATAAAATTTAATATATAAGTTATAACCTATTATATTTTTATAATAGTATTTTATATTAGTTAAATATAAAAGAATCACTGTACCTAATAATAATTCCTATATTATAAATTAACTAAATTAGAATTCTTATCCCTTAATCTATAAGGAATTATAAGCAAATTTACCTGCTAAAATTGAAAATTTTATGTTATAGATATGATTTTTATTTAAGTTTATTTTTGTTAAAAAAATTTTATTTATGAATAGCTTATTATGTGAAATATGCATTGTAATTATTTTTATTTTTTTATTATTAATAATTTTCAATTTTAATAGACTAAATAAAAATCAAATTTTTTGTAACATGTTTTAAAATTTTTTTTTTATTTTTTACCATTGTCACACTTTTTAATCATTGATCGTAGCCATATATATCTTAAACCAAAATTATCAAAATTAAAGAATTTTATTTACTTTATAACTTTACTTAATAATTTAAAAACAATTAAATTGTAAAATTTTGACTTTCTTTAGTAATAAAAATCTAATTATTTTAAAAAATTACTTTAAATCCAAGAAAATTTTTTTATAATCTTTAATTTTATTTCTTTTTTTAATCGGTCTTTTTTTTTCAAAGTTGAGTTTCGAAAATTCATAGTGATGAATGGTGAATAGATAAATAAATGAAAAAATAGGTGAATAGTTTGATAATTCATAATAAAATTGAATTTTTTTATATTTTTTATTTATTTCTTTTAATTGATTTTTACTTTTCTTTTTAAAATTAAGTTTCAGAAGTTGAATAATTTGATAATTCATGATAAAATTTTTTATTTATTTCTTTTAATTAATTTTTATTTTCTTTTTAAAATCAAGTTTTGGAAATAATTTATGATAAAATTAGTTGAATTTTTTTTTCATATTTTTTTATTTATTTTTTTTTAAAATCGAATTTCAGAAGTTTGTAATAATGAATGGTGAATGGATGGATAAATAAAAAAGCAGATGGATAATTCAATAATTCATGATAAAATTAAATAAATTTATTTATTTGTTAATTTTTTATTTATTTCTTTTAATTGATCTTTACTTTCTTTTTAAAATTGGATTTCAGAAGTTCTTAGTAATGAATAGTGGATAGATGGATAAATGAAAAAGTAGATGAATAAATTGATAATTCATAATAAAATTTTTTATTTATTTTTTTTAATTGTTTTTTACTTTCTTTTTAAAATCAGATTTTGGAAGTTCATGGTGATAAATGGTAAAAAGTAAATAGATAATTTGATAATTTATGATAAAATTATTTATTTATTTTTTTTAATTGATTTTTACTTTTCTTTTTAAAATTAGATTTTGGAAGTTCGCAGTGATGAATGATGGATAGATGAATAAATAAAAAAGCAAGTAGATAACTTGATGATTCATGATAAAATTAAGTGAATTTATTTATTTATTTTTTTATTTATTTCTTTTAATCGATCTTTACTTCTTTTTTAAATTGAATTTCAAAAGTTTGCAGTGATGAATGGTAGATAAATGGATAAATGGAAAAGTAAGTGAATAATTTGATAATTCATGATAAAATTAGTTGGATTTTTTTCATATTTTTTTATTTATTTCTTTTATTTTATTTTTTAAATTGAATTTCGGAAGTTGGATAATTCAATAATTCGATAATTCATGATAAATTTTTTTTTTATTTCTTTTAATTAATTTTTACTTTTTTTTTAAAATTGAATTTTGAAAATTCTCGATGATAAATGAATAGATGACTTTGATTGATCCTTATTTTTTTTTTTAAAAAAAATCAGGTTTTGAAAGTTTGTAGTGATAAATAGTAGATATGAATAAATGAAAAAGCAGATGAATAATTTCAAATATTTATAGTGATAAATGGTGGATTGATAGATAAATATAAAAGCAGATGGATGATTCAACAATTAATAATAAAATTAAACAGATTTTTTTTCATTTTTTTTTTCAGAAATTTGTGAAAATACATAAATATATTAGGAAATTTTCAATAGCAAATATATCTGGATATATTTGCCTTAAATTAATTCGAATATATTTGACCACTCACGTATTTATCCACATTAAATATCTGGATATATTCGCATATATTTAGATATATTTGAGGTATGACAATAAACTGTACAGTACGAAACGCTATTTTGTACTGTACGATTTTATATAAATTTTGCACAAAATTTGTACAATAATATATATATTATAAAAATCTAATTGTATTATATGAACTTTTTATGTTAAAAAACCGTACAGTACAAGTATTTTTATATTAAAAAGCTGAACAGTACTAAATATAAACCCAACCCCTGCAATATATATTATATCAAATTTAGGAATTAGGGTTTGTATCACATACAAATCAATTAGGGGTGTTACATTTTATTATTACCACCTCAACACACCCCAACATTCAATTTTTATTATATTTTTTTAGAACTTAGAATTTTTTTGGGTCTAAAATATTATTCATCACATTTATATATTATCCAGGTAAAATTCTTCACAATTAAAATTAATGAAAAATATCACGTGATATTAGTTAATCAACTATACAAGTCACAAATAAATCATACAAGTCACTATTCATACAGTACAAAATAGTGTTCGTACCATACAGTTCATCTGTATACCCATATATTTACAAATTTATTCAAATATATTTACATATATCTAGATATATTACGAATTTATGTGAATTTATCTGATATGCGAATTTATCTAGATATATTTACGTAAATTTATCTGAATATATCCACATATATCCACATATATTTGTATATAAATTTATCTGGATATATTTGCACTCAAAAATTTCCTGGTGATTAAATAAGTTATTAGTGATATATTATTTATTATATTACAACGCATTGTGTATATTGTCTATAGATTTATTAAAAATTTATTAATTAAATCTTTACATATTGAAAAATATTATCTATTATTTTAAAAAATAAATATGAATACTTTTTGAAACAAATCAAAAGTAAAATATTGTATTATATATAAGATGAAATTTTATTGATATATAATTATAATATAGATTTTATAATATAATATAAATAATACAAATATATAATTTCTATTTCTATAAAATTGTACACTTTCAACAAGTTTAAAATTATACATTACACGCAAGATACAATAGTAGTTAATTGAATTTCTATATTTATTATAAATAAACCTATGCATAACAAGTTATAATGAGTTCTAACTATATTGCTAATATCCTTTGTAACAATTTTGATTGATATTGTATTATTAACAAATATCTTTCAAAGTTTATATCGCTGTATTTTGATCGACATCAATATTTTTCATATCATTGATTATTGTTTCAAATTTTCTACAAAGGTTAATGTTTTTTGTTTGTGTAATAAGATCAGTTATCTCATATAACTTATTATTTAACTATGTATTCTTTTGTTTATTTTCAGAATAACTACTTTTACTTTTTTTAAATAATCCATACGAAACTCTTTGAAAAAAAATAAATTTATATCTTTGTATTTTTGTTATTGTTATATCAAAATACATCAAATAAAAGATAATAATTTAAAATATATTTAATAATATTTATTGGCTTGCGTCGACTTTATTTATGACTTAAAAAGTAAATAAATATATTTTATACTTTATTTACTTTTAAAAATACTTCATTAACTTTAACATAAACTTATAAAATACTTAAAAATGATATATTTATATCTTTCTATAATTTATTCTGTTATTATATCAAGTACATTAATTTTTGTAATACTATTACTTAACCTATACAATTTTATTTTGTAATATAAGAATATTAATAATATATATATCAATAGAATATCTTCAAAGAGACGAAAACTAATAAATAGCAGAAACATATCAAGAAAATGCTATTAAAATTTATCCAAATGTAAAAGTAATTACTAAAAAAATTCTAATATTAAATAAAAAACTCTTTCCGAAACAAATAATTTTGTAATAAAACCACAGCAAAAATTGTTTTTCAAAAATAGTTTTTAGTTTTTATTTTTTATTTTATTAAAAGTTCATCCATTTGTCCTTTGATAATAAACGGACACATTCAATAATATGAGCATTAGCTCAAATACCAGGGATAAGAAAAGTAAGGACAATTCAGTTCTGAAGTCAAACATTATTGGCAAAGTTAAATTTAACCCAACAATGAAAAAGGCAAAACCAGACAAGAAAAGCAATAACAAGAGAAATAATACGCCAATGGAAGAAACAAATGCTGAAGCATCGGGAAGTAAGATAAACTCACAAATAGTAATATTAACAAATGAAAAAATTATAGAAGATAACGTCAATACAAACATAGAAGTTATGGAAGAAATTGAAAGTAGAAATAGTGAATTACAAGAAGATATTGCAAATGAGGAAGATAACAATGACCAAGGGTGGAGAAGAGTAACTAATAATAAAGGGAAAACAAAATATGAAAGTATCAATAAAAATAGCAATAAAGAAAACAATGAAGAAAAAGAAGAAACCAAATCAATTGACTCCTACCAAACAGAAAACGACTACCAATCTGAATGACGCAGTAACTTTAATGAAAAAAAATATAAAATTTGAACTTACGCAAAAAAAATTATGGGGAAAAATATTAGTGAAAAAGTAGAAAAAGTTAGAAAAATTTTAAAAAAAGAAACAGTAGTTGTTCTGGTAAAAACTGAAATATTCAAGAACAATAAAATAATTTTTGCATTATATGACAATGAAGAAGAAATGGAAAAGGGCAAGCAATGCGATATGGGAGGAAATGCAGGAAAGCCTACTTACATGCATAGGGCTAAAATTTTCAGAAGAAATCCAATTAAGGAGCTCATGCATGATGTGAAACTGTTGGACGTGCCGCTGGGAATGAAAAACAAAGAGCTCAAAGAAGACTTAGAAAACAAATATGGTGCAATAGAAAGATTAACTATGAGAGTCAATAACATGTGGCAATCTGCAGTTGTTATTTTTAAAGAAAAAGAAGATGCAAAAAAAGTTATGGAAAAATGGAGTATCATAATTGGAGAAGACTCCTTGAGAATTACACAAATAGATAAAATAGCTGATAATCTTAAATCTAGAGAAGAACATGTAACTAGAATTATTGGTTTACCCAATGGTATAACAGTACGTGAGTTATGGCCTCATGTTGAAAAAATTGAAGCGAAAACATATTACATTCCAAGAACAAGAACATATAGATGTAAAAGTGAAGCAATTGTCTCGTTTGAAGACCATGAAACATGTAAAAACTCATTAAATGTTTTCTGGAAATTTGGAGAATTCAATATTAGAATTGTTGATATACAAACCAAAATGTGTCACCGTTGTCATGCTACTGACCACCTGGTTATTGACTGCCCACAAAAATTAAAGGATAACGAAATTAAAGAGAAAAATGTAGATAGATTAGATAAATTCAGATCGATTTATAAATGACTCAACCCAAGATTCTATAATACCATTAACAAACAAACAGGTGGTAAAACATACGCAGAGGTTGCCAAAAATAAATCATCTAGAAGAGATGATAAAAATAACAATCGTAATATTAAAAATGATAACAAAAAAGAAGAAGATGGAGTAGAAAAAATTGAAAACATGTTAATAGATATTAACGCACATCTAGACAGAATTGAAAATCATTTATGGGAAACAATGCAACAACAATACGAAGACTACGAAATAGAGGAAGATGAAAATGAAAATATGGGGGTTGAAGAAGAAGAACAAGAGATTAATAATAATAAAACGCTGTTACAGAATGAAAATATAATGATAAAATAATATTAAAAACACCTGCAATAATAATAACCCTTAAAATGATATTTAGAATTTAATATTAGTTCATGTAACAAATAGTAACAATTTAATAATTACTTTTGACAAATATTTATAGCCTGTAGCACACATTAGTTAGTCACGAAATAGTAGTACAAGATCACGTGTTCACGTGACATTTA